GCCATCTTTTTACAATCAAACAGAACCATTAAACCGCTAGTAAAATTGTGGTTCAGCAAGGTCTGCACGTAAGAATTAGCTAGTCCATATTGCATTACAGCTTTTTATCCCTCTCTGACGAGCTTCCAATCCAATCCTATCCACTGGTGCTGGTTTGGATTACCCGGGGCAGAGACTACTCGGAACTCTTGTGCAATAAACTCACTCTCGATCAGGGCTTCCTGTATAATTCCCTGCCACCGCCGAGCTGAATCGGCATCTGATGCAGAGGGGCCGTGAACACTGCTTCGGGCTTTCCTCCCACTTCTGCTGATGAGTCAGAGGGTCAGACAGCCTTTGCATACCACGATAACAATCGTAATCAAAGTCCTGCCGCACTTTCTCCCTTTCAGCCTCTTTCTCTCGCTGTTTTCTCTGCCTGCCAAACTGCTTCAACCTCGGGAATGACAGTGCTGCCAGACCTTTTATCAGGGCTATCACCTTTGGAAAACCAGCCTTTGCGATTCTCATAGTCCTTGCGGTCCGGAGAATCAGCACCACGATCAGCTGATCTCACGTCTGATCTCTCGCTTTTTCTCCCTTCCGCTCTCAGCAGCGATCTGTTTTTTTCTCTTTCCTTCATTTGCTGATCTGTCAAGGATCTGAGCTCATCTAATCCTCTCTGCTGCTGCTTATGCACTTCCTTTTCAAAGCAGCGCAAACGTTCTGCATGTGAATAACCACCATGTACATTTGAATACCTGCCACGGTCGTGCTGAGTTGAATCAGGCGGCAAAGGGAGAAGCAGGGGGGGAAAGACTCACCCCCTGCTGCTATTGTGAACTCTTCAGGGAATACCATTGGGCATTTCGAGGGTAATACCGACGCTTCTCTGTGGAGAGAGGGCAGGGGAACCTGCACATCTACTTCCATATTTTCTGGTTCTGGTGCAGGCTGCAGAGCCGGTATGGGCTTTTGCTCCACATTGCTATTGTCTGAAACCTCCTGTTGAGCCTGTAACTGGCTCCAGGGGTGCAGAAGGTAAGGACGGTATAATAGGTTCCTCCACACTGAAGAGTTCTCGTGCAAATGCTGGGAAAGCAGCCATGGGATTCTCTGCCTCCAAAGCAGCAACAGCTCCTGCTGCACCTGTTCATTCTGCTTTTAACTCTCTTAGCACTGTGAGCAAGGACTTCCACATTGTGCTAAGTCCCTTGGTTTCTTTTGCCCCATCACTCATGGCATCCCAGAGGAGCACTCCCAGCCTCTCCCCCTCGAGGATGTTGAAAACACTCTTGGTGGTGCCAAAACCCCCTCTCTCCTGACCCCATTTTAACAGTCTTTTTAAGATTACTGGGTCTTATTTAATTGCTCTCTTAGAGAGAATATGCTGGAGGATGTTTTGTGTGACATGCTTTTCTTTTGACAGAGTCTTCCCCATCCTCTCCACCGCCCGGCGCTCACCTTTTCCAGTGTATCCACTACAGCATATTTTTTTTTCTGGAGCTTTTCTCCCGGGAAGCCTCCCCTTGAGGCTGCTCCACTGTGGAGCTGTCCTCTGAGTCCACCTGTTACAGTCCAGCCGTGGCAGTCTCCAACCGGGATCTTTGTTGTAGTCCCAACCTCAGGATCTCGTCCAGGGAAGCCGCAGGGTTCTGGGGACCAGCATGGAACACCAACAAGATGGGTGTCTGTTCATGAAACCATTTATTCAGCATGGAACAACTCAGATCCAGAACAGAGAGCCCCGAACAAAGGCAGGGTGATGGGTTTTGAGGGACAGAACTAGGGTGGAATTCAGGGTCAGGAACCACTAGAAACACAGCAATGGAGAAACCCCTAGGGACTCAAACCTAATCAGAACTCCTGGGCCGCCCTTCACAAGATGTTTGGGGTGGGGTAACTTCATCCAGGGCTCACACTGCCCATCCCCCAACACAGGGGGTCAAAATTCACACACATGGCTTACAGCCATGCCTCTTCTTTAACAATGCTTGTCTGAAACTAACTCTTTGCCTCCCTGAGGCATCTCACAACAGGCCTTCGACCTTTTCATTCTGCAGGACTCCCTTCAAAGTTCAAAGGGTATGGGTTTGCTTCATATCGGGGAGCTATCATCAAGTTGCTAGGGTCACGAACGTGCGTGAGCTTGGGACCTGTGAGCTGATGCCTTAAGTTTTCAGTTTTTTCTGTTCTTTGGTGTGCAGCTTTTATTCAGGGTTACTAGGATCTTTTTATAGGGTGATGAAGAAAAAACAATCCTATTCCAGTTGGGGATTCAAGGACAATTTTTTCAAACTTCAGGCTCAAAGTATAAACAATGTGAAAAGGAGGGTGGGCAAGCAGAACTCCTGTATGTAAATGGACGGGAGCATATAAAAATGTGAGATCTCGTGACTAGGTTCTCCTTTTGCTTCCATCTTGGAGCCATCCAAGCAGAGCCCTGACTGTAGCCCTGGTACTGCCAGGGTGTGGCCTTTGAAGGCCTCAATAAATATCCTTTATTCCTCTTAACTCCATCTAGCCTCTGTTACAGCTCCCTCAAGGTATCAGAGCAATGAACCAATATGATTTCACAGAAGCCGTTTATTGTTTACATTATGCACTTATTTATAGATTCTAAAACTACTGTTCACATGATCACACATTTCTTGATTGGTGCCTCTATTCTGTCCACATGCTGAGCACGCACTTCTCAGGTTTTGTGATTGGTTACAGTCCAGGTGTTCAACAGCCTTCTGTTATCTGGTTTGTGTGGTCTTTTTGTGTGTGTGTGTGGTTTTTTGTGTTTTCTTTCTTATTTTTGATCAATTTATGTTTCAGCAACCTTGAGGAATTCCAGAGGGTCTGATAAGAAATTCTACAGATGGTTTGGCTGGAGCACACTATCCCCTAAGTTGCTTAGATACATTGCTACAGCACCCTTTTTATGATAAAGGTTTTCATTTCATGCAAAAGGCTTTGTTATCATTTCTGAAGGTAACGTGCAATCAAATAATCCCTTCTACAGCATGTAATCAGCATAAAAAACTGCATTCTTTTGCTGTTTTTATATACAAGTGACAAAATTTTGCCTAAGTTTGACTGACCTTTCAGAGCTAATATAAAAATATTTTTCCAAGTACTCTATAAACTAATAAACTGAGGAAGGAAACTTATACTCTGGCTTGTATCACTCTGTAACAACTAGCAGAATGCAATGATGTTTTCATGTAGGAAAGTCCTCACTCCAGAAACAGCATTAACATTTTAAGATGTTACTCTCTTCCGCCCTATATTATTTCCCTTCTTTATAAGGGGTTAGACCTGCTACCTCCTGAACTCAGACATGGTCACAGATTGTGCAAATAGGACAAATGCACTTCAGTGTGCTCAGGAGAGTCCCCTTTAACCTGAAATTTGCTCACTCTAGGTCTGGCTGGAATATTCATGGAAACATAATAAGGATTCTTACATGGTCTGTGAGCATGGCTCACTTGGGAGCCAGTAACTCCCTAGATCATTTCAGTCTGTTTCACAAGAGCACATTTCCCTCAAGCCTGGCTGCTGTGTGTTCATGAAGTTCAGAAAAGCATGAAGCCTCAGGAGTTCTGCAATGAGTGTCTCCAGACAAGTTCCATCTCTAACTCTGTGCTTTCCCACATTATGTCTTCTCTTGGGGATGTGACAAATCAGAAAATCCTCATCCTTTGTATTCATGGAAAGGTTTGCTCCTTTCCTTGAAGGTTCTGGCATGGTTATTATGACCTTTCTACTATATGTTGTGTTCAGGTGTAACTTGTTATACGATGTCACTGTTGTAGCATCTCTTCTGCCTCCTGTTTTGTTTGTTCACTTTAACATTTCAAGCAATTTACATTTTTATCTTTTAAGGTACCCTCCCCACCACAAATGTATTTACCCTATCCTTCTTTGCAGTCACATGCAGCAAGGCCTTTCAGTGTATAAAATGAGACTTGTGCATGGACTTTGTCCACCTTGACTGTCTGTATTAACATGCTTGAACTAAGTAATGAAATCAAATGCTTTCAACATCATCTGTATTAAGTTACAGGATGCTACTACAAAAGATTAATGGTTTCAGCTGGTGTGGTGACAGGCAGAGAAGGGCCATGGCTGCCCTCTTGTTCCAGATAGAATTCTTCTCCTTGAAGAGAGGGTCTGCTCCTCAGGCCTTGTGGCAGACTGACATAGATTTTATTTTCTTGGCCGAAATAAGAGTTGGGGTGGAAACCTGCATGTATTGTACAGCAAAACTTGGGGGATTTTTTTATTTTTTTTCATTAAAAAGGTCAAGCATGTTTTCTTGGGAATCTAAAACTCTTCTCATTCATCCCAAAAACAGCAGCTGTTGTAACATTAGTAGGTAACTTTGCATTTCCTTTCACCACTGAAGATAAAAACCATGATGGAAAGACTATTTTACCATCTCTCATAACAAGCATAATAACTAGCTCTGTTACAGGATAGGGAAATCATAAGCTGCTTCCTTAGGCTCACTTAGGCTACTCTTAAGGTATTTCCTAAGTTCTCCTTTACCTTGAAAATTTTCTCACATAGTTTCAGGATATTTTCCTTATTTATACTAATATCTGAATTTATTGCTTTTCAAAGTTAATGTCTCTTTCAAGAGCTACTGCTGTCTCTTCTTTTTGCAACAGCTTCTGGTCTTTTTTGTTGCCAAAACTGTTGCAAAAAGTGGTTGAATGCATTGGATAGTGTTTTATGCCAAATATGAATGTTTAACTTGCTTTTATTTATATCTAAAATTAATGTTCCAGTCTTTAATGATGAAAAAAACCCAATTATAAGCAATTTGATTCAAATCACTAGTTATTGACTATGTCCTCTACTAAGTAAGGCCTAAATAAGGAATTTGAAGAAGCATTTCCAGAAGAGAGAAATGGTTAATGACCCCCATTTCATTAGCTACCTCTTAAAAGCTAGGTTATTTTCAAATTAGAAGTTGCATCTTTGGACACTATATAGTCATTGCTTAAATGTGATCCTTTATCCTATAGCTGTTTCAAATCCTTCTGAAGAACTAACATTTGATCTAGTAGAAGAGAATCTTCGAATGCAAATTGAAGAAGAAAAAAAAAGGTATTTGTTCTGCCTTAGATTTCTATTATCCTTCAGAAGATAAATTATACTGATAGTATATTCCAATTACAATTCTGCACAGACAGCTACCCTCAGGGTTTTCTCTGACATTTTAAAAATATCAGCTTTGTGGTTCACCGATAGTTTTTAAATTTGTGTATATGCTGTTGGTCTGTCTGTTGGTGCCACAGTAGATGAGAGAGGAAAATTTATGCTTGAGCTAAAGGTTAAAAATAAATAAAAACAGCTTAATGTCCTCCCTGGGGATGTTTGCAAATTGTTGTTTGAATCCAAATGTATTGTGAGCCTTTTGGGCTGATTCAGAAAAGTCCTGCCTTTCTTGACCTAAAGAAAACCTTTAGGTAATACAGAACTCACTAAGTGTAAATAATATGCAGAATACACATTGGTTAACAGATCCTTGCTCTACTGTCACTGTTGCCAGGAGGATAAAAAAAAATAGATGCAAGGATATCAGTATGGAGTATTTTGCTAGCATTTACGTTATTCACAATCTCTGAGGAAACTTCTGGCTCATTCATACTCCTGGTAAATCTCCAGGTGTCTAATAGCTAAGAGGGTAATGAAGCTTCCATCTGACAGGGGAACCAGTCTCAGGTCCTATCTAAATCCAAGATACCAGTTATTTATTAATGATAACATGTTGAGAATTCAAAATAAATAATTTTCATAGTTGATTGAACCTGTATTTTAACTGTTAATCAATGTTGATCGTACTTGAATTTCACTATCTTCTTTATGAAATAAAAGTTCGTTGGAATAAGTTTCTTGCACTTACTGTCCCATGAAGCTTTCATAAAATATGAGTTGTTTCTGTCTACCATCTGTGTTCTCTGCATCTCTGATTATTATACATTATTTTATAGTTTAAATTTCTAACTGTTCTAAGTAGGATTAACCTTTGTTCAGATATACCTTGGAAAATTTGTCATGCACTTTCTTCTTCTCACATTAGCTATAAAAGAGTGTACAGCTGCTTCAAAGGGCTGAAGGTAGAGATTGAGCACCTGCAGCTTCTTATGGAAAAATTGAAGATGAAGGTGCAAAAAGACTTTGAAGTCTGGTGGTCTGAAGAGGCAAAAAAAATCCAGGTATGAAATAATTTTGTATTTCTTCCATTTTCATGTAAATATAACATCTTCAATAATTTCCTAAAGAAGCAGTTAATTGACTGGACAGAAAGGAGTATGAAGGATGGGATTCAGGGTCTGGTTCAACTGTGCTTGTGCCAATGTAAATTGGACAAAGGTAATGTGAATTATACTTGTGTGAAGCTCTAAAAATTAGACAAATGCATTTTTTCCTGCTCTATTTTCCATTTTTATGTTCTCCCAAACAACTTGTTTAATAGGGAAGAATGGGCCCAAAATGCCAACAACTTTGAAAGAACATTATCAGATTGCAAAAAATAATCTTTTTTACTGCTAGCAAAGCAATGATTTCATCAGGTTTTTTTGTAGCAAATATAGTTACTTTTTAGCTTCCTTTGCTCACAAAGACTCCAGTAACCTTTCAGCTTCCCTAGGCTCCCAGAGGGTCAGCAGCTCCCAGCACAGTGTTTCCTCATTCTCTAGCTGAAGTCCACCAGTGTTTTAAGGAGAGAGTGCTCTAATGCAATGACTTGTGTAAAAATGAACTAAAGAACTGTCATTTTAAGCAGTGTGTTAGAAGTTGATAACACAGTCAGTCTCAAAACTACACTTTATTGAAACAACCTAGCTTTCTTGGGCTTCCCTTCTGACACTTTTTTAATGACTTGCAATGTCACTACATTGCAACTCACAACAAAGCTCTGTCATGAAATGTACATCAGCCCTGTGAAAATGAATGCTGGATGCAGTCCATTCCATATAATTTGTTATTAACTGCAAGAGAAGATTTACTCCTTGAGGAGAAGTTGTTACAAACAAAGAAAGTTTTAGTCTATATTTTGGTTAATTCTTGTGAGTATAAATTTTAACTGTATTTTCAAGAAAATGGCCTAAAATAAATACAGAACTTAACATGGGGAATTTAGTTATCCATACAGTGCCGCCTAAGTAGCTTAACTGAAAGTTAGCATTACCAAATACTTTTCCAGTTAAAATCCCTAACCATATTACTGGCAAAGTGGATGACATTTTAGTCACCCTCCTGTCTAAATATTAAGGTTTTTCAAAGCACTGCAAGTAATATTCTTGAATCCATTGCAGCAGATTTTTCTCTGTTCCTTAAAAGGAGAGTTTCAGGATTCAACCTCTCATAATTCATCAGTAGAAGATTAGAAAACTGGAAAATGTAATTGGGATTGATTTCTTAGATCTTGACCTATCTATACATCTGAGCTCCCTAAGAAACTGAAATCAGTGAATATATGCTATTACATATTAAAAACCTGTATCTTGAGCTTGAAAATACTTGAACTAATAATAAAAATACATGAACTAATCCTAAATACTTTTCTCTTTGTTCAGAAGACTTTGTTTGTGCAAGTGGAGAAAATACTGTGTGATTTAGACTCTGTGTTTTCTGAATGAGTCATTGTTTACCTTGTTATTGCTGAAATTTATAGGCCAATATGAAACACTTTTAAAAAATCTTATTCTCCTAATTTTGTTTATCAATCTAAACCCAGCAGGAAAAGCCAGAGATGGTTACTTCACCAAATACTGCCACTGTTTATCCACAGTTTATCAGATCCTCGCAGCATCTATCACCTAACAGGTAAATTGTTTATTTTTCTCTTCCTTCCTTACATGGGAGAAAATGCAGTTTTAGTAGAAGTGCAGATGTCCAAAATGCTTTTGCAAATATTGCACTGAAACACTGTATTTTCAGTTACAACAGAAATGATTGTGTAGAAAATGAAATGTTATCATTCAGTTATTTGGAAGTCCTATTGAAAGTAGGATCTCAGTTCTTTTGATTTGTTGGTCTTGGAAACTTGGAAACCTTTCTTTAGGGGCCCCACGACAGCTAAGAAAGGCAAGCCTGTTATCAGTCAATTTTGCTGTATGAGGAGACTATATCTCCTTTGGGATGTATGCAGGGGACTTCAAACCAAAAAAAAATTAAATTTTTTTTTTTCATATATATACTAGATAGACTTGCTACTGAAAAATGCCATGGTACTACATTTATGCAGCATATTATTCCACAATGATATTGTATTTGATATTATAAGGTGCTGATGTATCATCTATAGGAGAAAAATGTGATCATCTTGGTTGTTGCATCAACAGTCACCTCTGATTTCAAACCCTCTAATTTAAATTTGCATTAATAGGCTGTTCATAGCCATGAGGGTGCAAGAAACCACATACCTGACTCTGCAGGTTTCCATATTCAAGGACAATAAATGGAGATGTTCTCTCCCCTTCCCTCTTCCTTTCTCCCTCCTTCTTCCTCTTTCCCTCCCCACCTTTCTCTTGCTCTCTTTTTCTGCCTCTCTCTCTTCTCATTATGCAATTAATATTTCTCTGATGAGTGGCTTTACCTACATTTTTATGACAGTAATCTGCATAAATGATGTTTCCTGCTTTTCAGCAAACATAATATCTCCTACATGCCATTAAATAATGAATAGTGAATTTTCTTAAAACTGTAAAATAGCTTCTGTTTTATTTTACACTCTTATGTATCTGTAGTAAATGTTCCATAATCAGTACAGAAAAGGATAGTCATAGTCCTCTAAAGTCTTCTGAGAAGACATTTTCAGTTCTCTCAAACTTCTGAAAACCAACTTCAGCCTTCTCTGCTTTGCTTTGGTTCTTATTCTGTGTCCTCTCTAGTTTTAGGCATTAATCACTTTGCAAATTGTTGGCAGATTTTAGGCTGAATCCATGCTGTTCATTTCTGGTCTCAGGCTGAAGGTTACTTGACCCAGAGAGACGCTGATGGAACAGAACATGAGAGCCTTTTTGGTCTAGCTTAGCACAAATTTGGCCAAATTAGTTCAAGAAATCCATGACTGTCACTTTCTTTAACTTTGTACTGTACTTTGAACTAAGCGCCTCTTTCACAACCTCTCTGTCCCGCTGATTTTGGGAGCAACCAATTTCAGTTGCTGTGCTGATGCATCGCTCAGGAGAGCAATACTTTTTGCAATCCAATTAAAAATTCTAGAACTAAACATAATGGTAATGCTCAGGCACTTTCCAGTGCAATGAGAGACTGGCTTTCAGCAGTGGTGAATCTCCTCCTTTCTCTACCCTATCTCAGAAACAAAATTGCATAACTGGTTTCTTTATGGTTTTTTTAAGATTTTATATCAAATGCCTTTACAGTTCATGTTTGTTACTGGAGGACAAGTCTAAGAAAAGTCCATCTGGCATTTTGACTAGAATGGGGAAAGGTGCATGTTTGCTTTCAGCTGCCAAGCTTGCTTCAGAGTCCTGTACAGGTGATTTCGTGCAAAAAGCACATGTTCTTTACAGCAAAGCGTTTCTCTCTGTCTAGGTAATGGCATATTGGCTGAGGCTGACTAGATGATCCTTGCATAAATATTACAGACACAGAATCTTTATCTTCTGGAACTAAAATTGTATAGGGAGTTGGGATGAATGTAGTTTTATTTTCCCATCTCTATCAATATTCTTGCAATAATCTTTAAAAGTCAAGCATTTTTTCCTTCCTATTTGATCTTATTTTATGTTAGGCTGTTTAAACATATTTTACTCAGGTACATTTCTAGTGGCATGTATATGGAAGTAGACACGCTATTTCTGCTTTTTCTGAAGCAGGAGCTGCAGGCTTAATATCCCACTGTGCATGAAAATTTACATTTTCCCCTACCTGAGTCAATAACATTTTATAGAGTAATGGCTTCAAATTTCACAGACTTTAAAAGGACAAAATAGTAGAATATTTATTTCCCAATGATTTCATTGGCCCCAGTTGACAGAGGAACTTTACTTACCACTTCCCATAATTGTGCAGAATGAGTCCAGGCTAAAGGCACTACTTTCACATAGTCCTGAGACACAAATTGGCTCTTTTTTTCTAACCTGCCTAAAAATCAACCATCTCTTTCATTGGAATAATATTGCTATTTTCACCCAGCAGAATAACCAGCCACCAAAGCAAAAGCTGACATAAATTATGTTTGATACAATGTGGTGTTTCCAAGATGAAATTAAGTTTACAGGTGTGTTCAATAGATGTAAGATCTAAAATTTAGTAGGCTAAATTCTAAGACTGCTGTTGACAGAGTAAGTATGCAGTAAAACCATTCAGGCAAACTCCTGAATGGGAATGGATGTAAATACAATCTTCAGGCTAGAAATAATAAATTATGTAACTCTGCATGCAAAAGACACACATATATTTCTAATCTTTATATGTGTTTGAACAAAGTCTTTTGATCACCTTCTAGTGCATGATTTGTGTGAGGTGTTATTGTTTGACACACCTTAGTCATGTTTCCAGAGAAAATTAAGCCTTGGGAAGGTTCAAATTTTAAGTTAATTTATAAATAAAATAACAGAGAAGGGAGGCTGGTAATCCTTTTGAGACTTAAAAAGGATACACACACCTGAAAGGCACTTGATTCATGGCAAATATGTCTCTTTTTTTTTCACTTGAAAAAAAATGGCTGAATTGTTAAAGCGGTGAAATGATTCTAGGTTAATAAAAGAGTTGAATAGTGACCATTTCTTCCTCAGTCAGTGAGGTCTGAAAGCTTGTAGTGCTGCCTGAAACTCATATGGTATATATGTTTGTCTCATAATGGATTCCTGTCAAATTTGCAAGTCTGAAAATGCATGTCAGGGTCAGCGCTCCATGTGTGCTCCACACATTCAGAATTCAAGCACAGCCTTTCATTCTTCCTCATGCCGTCTCTCCCATAATGACTTTCATTTAAGGAATTTATCAGATCCGTGTCTATTCAAATTGCTTCTCTCACTGAACATTTAGTTTCAGTAGTGTTGAACAGTTCTTGTATTCCCTTTGAATTGTATAAATATTAGAAAATTACTCAATTATTATAAAAATATTGGATTTTTTCCCTCCTCTCAGAAGGAATGCATTCCTTTTTATCTCAGTCAAATCTTTCTTAACCTCACTCATTTCCTTTTACTGCATCTCATTTTTCCTATTCCAGCAAGCTCCACGATGTGTTCAACCTCAGACTGCTTGGATGTTCTGTTTCTTATTCAAAGTCTTCCTGGCATTTTAAATTCACTTGGAGACATTTTCAAATAACCCTTCATGTTGTCTGATGATTTTGAGCATCAGATTTTTTTAAAAATTATTGTCCTGGATTGTAACAATTACTCCGTACATTCATGTTGTGTGAAACAAGGTCAATGTTTACATATTTTACAGCATTTTCCGTCTAATAATTTTTTATTCCTGCCAATTTTCTGCAGTGTTATATAATGATGAAAACATAATCTGGGAATAACATCATCAATTAGTGACATTTCAAAGGTTTTCACATTCTTTGGTAACAATTGGAACAATTTATCTATGATTTGCAAGTTAGGCCAAATTTAATTTTGTAGCCAACTACTAAAATGCTTAGCTTTTAAGCCGCTTGAGTCTTTCCTGTCTGAACACCTATTCCCCTCATGTCCAAAGCTCAGATAATTGGACAACTGCAGGTGAGGTTTTCTTAATATTTTCTTAATATTACAGAGGTTGCATACCTTCAAATTTTCGCTTTCCATTTTAATTTACCTGATTTTCCATTTTTTCAGCTGGCAAATTAAGCACTTATATCAAACATGCATCATCTCTGCAGCTGTTATACCCTGATAGACCTGATTAGTCCATGGATCAGTTATCTCTGGTCCTTGGGTTCCTGCAGCAAGGAAAATGCTGCCACAACCTACATCTCTATCTGTACATCTCTATGACCACAGCCCCATGCTTGACTTGGAAATACACCACCAACAGAGGATTCTCCTGGCCCAGCTTCCCCAAAAATGAAAGTTATCCACTGGGTGGAACTTCAAGTACTAGGTTATAAGAACAAAAAGACATATGAAGTTCACAGACTATCTTTAATCTCTCTAAAAAGTAGGAATTTTACTGAAGTTGTCAGGAAAGAGTCTTTGAGATTTCCTAAATTCAACTCAAGGAAAAAACAGATAGATTCAGAATGCAAATGGGAATTAAACACTGTCAAAACAAGCTGAATAATATTAGAGGTTAAAGCTTAGATGACAGATAAAGAGAAATTATTTACATACCTTGTATGTCCACCCAAATCCAAAATGTGATCCAGAAATGCCTGTTTGCACATTACATAAATGTTGAATTGTACGTCTAGAGATCTCTGGATCAACCCCTTGCTTGAAGAAGACCTTCATCACACTAAAGTGTGTCAGGTATGGTTTTGTTTGGCTTTGTTGGAGCATCCTGAGATGTCCAGTCTTTCATGCTGGTCTAACAGAGAGGGTATCACTACCCCCACCCTATTCTGGCATAATGATTTTCCATTAAATCTAGAGCATTACTAGAACAGTTCTCAATTTTTTACATTACTAGAACAGCATCTAACACTTGGATGAATAAGGAGTGTCCTGACTTCTAAGAACAGGCTAGGAACAAGTTGCATCTGAGCATACAAATACAATCACAGCAGAATTACACCCTTTTGTCCCCTTATGGTTCAACTTACCTTGCAATGCTGTTATCAGAGCTTCAGTATGAAGGATGCAAGTTATTCCCATACAGACCACTCCTCTAGCCCAGGAATTAGAGAAATTTCTAGCATATAAAAAAGATAGATTTGAGTTGTGACAAATTGAGGGACTCATTTATTAGATTAGTACACTAATTGTTAACCTCTTAGGTGGAAGCAGAACTTCAAGTCATTTCAAAAAATGGCTATAAGTTTCCTTATAAATTTCCTTAATTTGCACAATACTTTGCATCCCACAATAAAAATGTCTGCTTGCAACCCCACAAGCACAGGATAGGACGTTAAAGTCCATCTCTAAGCACAGCAATGTTAATTTCCTGATTCTAGGTATCATCTCACTCAGTTTAAGTGGGTTTTTAAATATTGCTTTCCAGGAGTGCCAAAGTCTCCCAGAGCACCCTAAGGCAAGTTTTCCCATATTGTCCTCTGGTCCAGGAATGTACTTGAAAGTGACATCCCTAGAGTTCCAACCATGCCACGCCTGTAATATATAGGGTTTTTTTAAATCAGTCTGACTCTAAATCAATTTAGAGTCAGACTGATTTTAATTTAACAATTTTGCGTAATTTTTTTTTTTTATTTCAATGGAAAAAAAAGAAGTAGTTCAAATACATAAACTACTGCAACTTAAAAATAAAATACTTCAGATGACTCACAGTATTTGTAAAATTATATACTTTGTGCATGACAAAAAGAAAGCAAAGACACTTATTCCAATGAAAAGAAAGCAATGAAAAAGAATCACAGTAAGTCACATTACATTTGTTGTAGGGTAAGAGTAGAGTCAGGGATGGTTGCTATGGTTCAGTTGATGTGTAGCGATTTATTAAACTGCAGTTATGTGACTTGGATGACTCAGTATCTCAGGGCACAGACAGAGGCCTTTAAGAAAACTGAATTTAAAACACTAAATCACTTAGTTTTTAAGAACTGCCAAATCAGTGGAAAAAATGTTCCGGAAATCCTAAAGCAGAATGATGATATGAGGTTCCCAGATATTATTAAACCACATAGTAGATAATAACATCACACATCCTTTCTAGTTCTTGTAATATGTAGGTGTACTAAAGTAGAGAATATTATTAATATTAAATAAGATATTGCTTTGGTTGAATTAGGCAGGTGTGAATGGTGTGGGACTCAAGGAGTTAAAGAGAATCATTCAGCAAACCTGGAGCTGTTCAACTCAAAATTACTTATATTCCTGGGCACAGTATCTTCTGCAAAACTGAACCTGGTGTAATAATAGTAAAATTTTAGTAATAAATTTCTTTCCCTTTTCAAGTTCTCTGCCAGAAATATCAATTCATCAGCCAACAATGAACAAACTACTGCAGAGTTAGAAAAGCAAGAACTTGCCAATCCTGCCTTCTATTGGAAAAATCCTTACACTGAGTAATTTATTTTTTCCACTTGAAGATTGGCACCAGATCTAGCAGTATATGCAACCCCCAGGAAAAGCGGAGAATCCCAGAGAATTCCAGTGGTGGAAAATTTCCTCCCTAACAGTGAGCTTCCTTGATAATGATATCTGCAGAGGCAGAAATGCACAGCAGCTGTTTGCAGTATATTTGGCTATCATCAATAAACCCCATACCAAAGTCCTCACTGAGTTTTTATCCAGTCTTTCACTGATTTTGATAATAATTTTGCCTGACTAAAGAAAGAATGGAAAATGAGCACTTAGCTAATAGTCAGTTTAGGTACTAAATATACCATTACCAACTGTACATTGGATATATCAAAATGTTTTACAAGTCTGACTTAGAAGGGAAATATAATATACTAAAAGTATATTTTTTATGAAGTTATTTGTCATTCTTTCATAGCTGCATTCTCTATATAAACATGATCATCATATGGATTAAACTGAAAATCTTCTTTCAGTAAACAAATGTTTTATATAGATTTTTAAAATCTTAAAAAACATTTTTCTTGCAGTTAATTAGTGTATTAATATTGTCTACACTAGGGCTATATTATTTTCTTTAATTCCTTGATTTTCCTTCATTACTTAATTTCCCATTCCAGTTTTTCAGACTTCAATAAAGACAGCTCTTACGAAGATCCAGCTGTGAAAACCAACTCAATCACTTTTGGTAACCCAACTTCAAAAATAAGGTAAGAACTATACCTGGGCTACCCAAAGGAAAAAGCAAAGTACAAAATAATATAATGCCTTCACAATCCTCCATCACAATTTCCTTGAAATATAAAGATAATTTTTTTAGAAAATTTAGATTTTCCTCCAACTTCCAAACCAACTGCAGGCTGCCCCATAGCTTTACACCAATCTGCTGCACCATCAGTATTGCAAAGGGGCTTTTGGTTTTGGCCTGAGGCTTTTTTCCCTATAAGCTTATGAATATTCATGACTGTCTTCCCAGCCTTCTCGGAGAAAGGGAGTTTGAAAGAATAAATAAAAACTTTTAAAAATAATAAAAATCAGAGTGTGTATATATTGCAAAATTGTAGAATGCAAGAATTAGGCAGAGATTTTTTCATACTTGTGATTTTGTATTTAAAATATTCTTAATCTCTCTCCACAAATTATTCTGTTAAGATAAAATGGCAACAGTTTCAGGCTTGGCTAAGGTTATAGATCATATTTTCTGAAAAGAGAAAAATTGTGAAAATTAGCTCAGCAGGTTAACAGAAATGACTAGGGTTTTAAGCCTCTCTATTTTTTCTGGTGTGTTTATTTCCATGTTCTTTTCTCCCACTGAAACATTATGCCAAGTCACTCTGCTTTCAGAAACTATATTCTTATTGTGCTCAACAGTTCTGGCTATTAACACCCTTAGGAAAATATGGTCAAGTTACTATTTTTCCTACTACATCAGTAAGAGGAAAGCAGGAGGGTTTTTCCCTTTCATTTTCCAACACAATCCATTTCTAGAGCAGAAAAAAATTGTGGAAAATTTTATCCCCCAAAACCTAATGTTTTAAATTGCATTTGGGTTTAAGAAAAGGAGAAGAAAAATAGGAGCTAAAATGAAATTTAGAGAGTACCTTCTCAATATACTATGGTTTTTTATTTTTTATATTGTTGCTAAATTAATGAAAATCAACAAAAATAGTCCCTTACTGATGTTCTGTGATCACCTTGTAAATTACATAAAAATAGGTGAGTTTTAAGTTCAGAGTAATTTCTTCTTTGTTTTTCCATTTTGTTTCATTAATTCAGCAACTTAATTAGTAGCACAAAGACAAGGATATTAGACTGCTGTATATATCAGTAACACAATACACCTACTGCTACAGTCAGTAAGGAACTGTGAAAATAACTATAATTACAGAGGTAGGATATGTAAACAAAAAGCTTTTTCCTTCAGTTCCACTTGTCCTTCTGTAATTTTTTGTTGCTGTATTTCTCATCTCCTAGTTAGTGCTTAATATTTAAATAAGGTTAAAGATGCCAGAAGAAATTCTTAGCTTTCTCAGCTGATTAGAACAGCTTCATTGTATTACATCATCTTACACCACCAGAGGATCTGTCAAAAGTCGTAAGTTAATGATTCAACAGTTCAGCTGTTACTGGAGACTCAGCAGCACAAAGGATTTACATCTGTCAGATGTCCTGAATGCCACATGATTGTTTTCTTCTGTATATGTATGAAAACTTAATTCCCCCACAGTAGGCAAAAATACTATTGATCTGTTCAGATGTATAGCAGCCTAAGGCAAGCAAACATGGCATAGACACATCCATAATTTCCTTGGTAAACTTACTACATTAAGCTTTTCTGCTTGGAATTAAGTCTTTGATTCAGCACTAGAATATTCTTAACCCTTCTTGAGAGGTCTATAGTTGATTACAAATAGCCTTCCCACACTGAAGAGGTAGTGGCTAATCTTAGGAACCTACAAAAAACCATTAAGAAGTCCTGAGATCAATTCTCTGCTAAACAGTGCTAACATATATCTAACAATGCATCTAAAGAATAAAATCCTTCATGATGGAAAAAAAGAGGAGACAGAAAAATTAACCTACTTACTCACTTGAGTCCACAAGCATACTTTCTTATTTCAGGATCCCACCAAGTTCAAGTACATCTATTCCTCTGACTGGAGACAGCCAGGCTGATGCTGACATCCTAGCTTTCATTAAAGCACGACAGAACATCCTGCAAAAGAAAGGTAAATCCTGCCAAAAAATAGGAAGCCAAACCAAAATCTCCAGTACAGCATTTTAAAGCCAAAACGGCTTTCGTCCACATTTTACTGACTCAAGTGAGAACAGATTCTGGCTTCAGTTATATTACATTATGTTCTCAGCCGTTCTAAGTACTTGAGATTCTTCATATGTGTTTCTTAAGTAGCCCAATGCTGCAATGCAAAACTGTAAAGGCTCTCTGTTTTACTAAGCCACTATCAGTGAATGTCTGGGGTATGCATGACTATGCAACCTGCACAGTATATTATTTTACCCTTAAGCAAATGCATTTGAATGTGGTTTCTTGATGATCCAAATTTTTCTACATAGATTTTCTTTAAACTATCTGTCCTGGTTTTCATCCAGTACAACTTTAGTTGTAACAGTTGAAACCAAGTAAAGATTACTCAAATGATTGCACTGTACCCCTACCTCAGGAGGCAGACTGCCCCACTGTGCCCAGCAGAGTATGTCCTTAAGAGGTATTTCACTATGTCAAAGTCTAATGAAAATTTCTATGAGTATTTGTCATCAAATCAGGTACTGAGAGCAAGCATAAAAGGTAACAAAGTTCACTCTAGAGTGTAGATAAGTAAAATTTGAAGGAAGCAGAAAGCAATAAATAAACAGTGGCACTGCAAGGTAGTCTAAAAGTAATTTATCATGATAATGAAAAATGACCTATGCTGCTTTTTTTTTCCCCTGAACAATAGTATTTACTGGCAACAACCAATTAGACAGAATATGGCGTGTTAGTGGTTTCCAAAGCAATAACTTTCCATCAGCACTTCAGTGCTGATGGCAGCATTTTTCAACAAGCTATCTGCACCTGGCAGATGGTGTTCACAACTGTCACAAAGTGGGGCTTTGGTATCACACTGCTTACTAGAAAACTGTCAGGTAAACACACTGGCTGAAAAAACAGCCTCCCTACACTCATCCAAAGCAAACACTTAGCACATTTAGGCTTTGGGATCCCTTTTGTCTTTATTTAGAAAAGCTGTTGTCAGGTTTCTTTTGCAAATGAAATTAAACTGGATTTGTAGGCAGCTCATCAGGAGATTAGAGACAAATGTCTTACAACAATCATTTCTGGCCTTTAGAAGGTCGAAATTTGACTCAATCTGTGATGCTATGTAATTAGAAGAGCACATCTTATCCTATGATCATCTCCTAAATCACACCATATCATGAATGTCTCTCTCAAATGCCTTTTCCATCCCGATCGTTTTCAGCCAGTGGCTATCACCTGGCATCATCCATCAGTTTCAGAAGGGACTAGACATTATCAACATTGACAACTATTTAGACCCCAAGTCATAAAAGGTATTCTTACAGAACAAAGTACAGTCAACACTTCTAAAATTATTCTGACGTTCAGTCAGACAAGGTGAGCTGCCCTGAGTAGGTGAAAAAGGAATGGAGTAGCATTTGATCATCCTGTTAGTGCAGAACTGGATGACTCAACCAATTGCTAAGCATAAGCAGGAGAATAAAAAAGTAAAGAGGCTATGTCAGTTCAACAAATGTGGAGAGACCTGATGTGTCATAGACAAGAGATGGCTCAGCAGCAAGTTCTGAGAAGGATTTGGAGTCAACCTAGCAGATAAAAGAAGGCTTTTCTTTCTTTGAGAAAAGGGAAAACCTTCCAGATTTAAGAGATGAAGCAGGAACCATTGAGCAAATAAAGTTTGTAAATTCTAATTGAGCAAGATGAAGGAGAAGAACTAGAGGGTTTTCCCTCAGGGGACAGGGATCAGGGCTATGATGTCCCCATTCCTGCCCCCACAGAGAAAAACTTTCAGATGTAAAGTAGAGTTAGGTAGAAAGGAAGAGTAGAAGAGGAATGTAGTCTTACTTCAGACTTTGGGGGAAAAACACTATGTGTCATCAGTCACTTAACTTTTCCTCAAGAAATTTCAAACATATAAAAAATAAACCAAAGAGAAATTATTTGCCCTGAGCCATTAAGATGAGTCAGACACTTTCACGCAGAATTTAAGTATGCTGAGTCCCATTTCAGTGCTCTGTTGCTTCCTTACTAAACTCTCTTCAGCTGAGATGTTCAACAGTCCTTTCTACATTTGCATGCAAATGTATTCTCTCTCTGCATGACTGTAACACACAGTGCCCTGCAGGAAGCAACATGAGGAAGCATAGGGTCAGCCAAGCCAAAGTCTGCTGGGCTTAAAAACTGTCAACATCCTTACTGCTCTTTCCTTTATTGATCCTGACCCTCTCAAACTGTTATATTAGTATCTTAGAAGCAAACTGAGGGCCCTACTACACATTAGGGGGGAAGAAAAAAAAAAAGAATAAATATGTGCAGAAGCCAACAGAGTGGAAAATAAGTTTCATAAATAAAAAGCATGGGAATGCTCAATATCCTTAGTGACAGAAATGCAGGGGTGGGAATGAGAGGTCTCAGTAAAGATTAATTCAGGGATTGTAGGGTATTACCATTTGCTTTATAAACAGCAGAATTAAAGCAGATACATTCACAGGGCCTTGCTGGGATTGTTAGAGCATTGTAACGACTACACTGGAAAGCTTTCTAGATAAGGGCTACTTGACAAGCATGCTTCTGATGCCATGTTCTGTGTGGGGGTAGAGAAATGAAAATGCAGAAGAATAGATGAATGATTTTTTGTGTCTTAAAAGACTTAAATTAAAGGATTTTTTTTTTTTTCTTTCTTCTGTTTTGTGTTTCTGAAGTTTGTTTTTAAACTGACAGTGCAACCTCAGATGTAGTCTAATGTATTTCTTTATCACCTTTCAGGCTTGGGAAACAAATGAAATTCTTGTCACAGTCCACTATTTCCTTTTAGAAACAGTGAAAGACCTTTATTCTTTCCATTCCTCTTCTGTTTAGAAACAGGTACAAGTAAGTACTTCAGATGTACAGGCTTAATTGGTAAGGGTATATAAATTGTCTTTGACAGCAAAACCCATTTCTCTGACAATAGGTATTTGACTATTTGCACTCAGAATCTTCATCTTGCATTAAAATTAACAAAACTGAAACAGGAGTTTGCCAAATACATTTGTTTATGAGAATTCATTGAACATTTCTAAATATTAAAATTATTAAAATTATTATGTATTAATGCTTTTATACATCTTTAATCTGAGAAAAGTCTATTACTATTGATAGGGCTTTTTGCATCGATTCACATAAGGCTTTGTTAATTATACCTATTGAACATCAAGAGATATCCATTCAATGGCAGTAGTTACCTGGGTTATAAAATTACATAAAATTTCATTTGAGATTTTTTCCTCCTCAAGGAATAACAATTTTCATATCAGATTATTAGAATACTGAGATTGCATTGTAATATAAAAACAAATGTATTTTAGAAAGTAATTCTGGAGTTCAAAATTTCCCAACTGTTTTCTTTTTATTTGAATGGATTAAATGTTGTGCAAAATGCACACCCTCCCAAAATATACAGGTTTCAGAAGAAACAAATATACTTAATAGGCTTTAAACAGAACAAGGCCAATACTTCTGAAACACCAATAAGATGTGAAAATTTAAATGCATTTATGTCTTATATACAGTGTAATTTCACTAGTAACTCAGTACTCTTTTATTGCATAATATTCAGTTATGAAACAATTTGTTTTACACATCAAATTAAATCAAAAACACAATGCAAAGTACAGTCTAATTCTCTGAGATATACATACTACCATATTGAAGCTGTCATTGAAGCATTTGCATGCTAGTGATAATCTTATAGTCATGCATTTAGAAGCGTATGGGTTGTTCACATAAAAGAAAACAATATATTGGCAGAAGTCACATATTCTCAAGAATGTGTATTTTGTTATTTACATGCTGATACTTCTTTGTCAAATTCATAATTACACAGAAGTACACAGTGAATTGCTGTTCTAACCTATAGAAGATATGTTTGTCAAAATAACAACTAATATACTATCAATTTAAAAATATTAAAATTGTACCTTTTTTTGCATTTTAATTTTCTGTAAAAGTCTACACAGATACCATATAAACTGGTAAGCTTTAGCAGAATTTAGTATGTTCAATCTGAGATAAAAGTCAGGTATACTCTTGCTTTGAGAAGAGTTCAAGGATTTGGTCAGAAGTGGAAAAATCCACAGGCTTTCTCACTTTCATATGTCTGCTTTGTTGGAGATTATATTAAAATGCCCTTTTTCCAGAATTTTTATCTGTCTGTCATTATTTTCTTCTTCTTACTCTATTATATAAATACTGTTAAATATGCAGTGTATTATTGTTCATATAACTTAGTTGAGGAGACCAGGGTCACATTCCTGCTTCCATTCAACACTGCTAGCTGGAGAAGAGCCACAGATTCCAAAATGTTGCTGGGTCAAGCAGCTATCTTTTTATGTTTCCAGTGAAATACCCATTGTGGTTAATTTATTTGAAGATGGCTGAAAGGGAATCACTGGTCCAACATCTCCGTACTTTTGACATTGAAGCATTTCCAATAGCTTTACGTAACTGGTTAAAAGAAGGATCTCGGTGCTATTCTTTGTATGAGTTATAAGTGATGCTGTTACTACTTGACGATTCAGTGTTCTGTTCTCAGTTTGCCACATCACATCTCACTCACAGAGAGAAAGTAACTCCTTGCTCTTCCATTTCAAAATTCCCTAGCCTTTTTTTACGCTATTGTAAATTTGGTGTGAAGTTCAATCACTGTCAGCAAAGTAGTACCTGATTGGAAAAATGGTCTAAGATAAAGATTATACTAGGCACTTAAGATCTGGGACCAACATGCATCCCATAGTAATAGAAATATTAGAAATAATAGAAAACAATATAGATATATAACACCATATAAATAAACAGAAAGTCCTTCTTGCATCTTCTGAAAATTTTCATAATATCACGTGAAAAGAAAAGGTTCCTCATTTACTAAATAATAGTCTTAAGAAATAAAGCATTCTCTTTTATAAAAGCTGCTCCTCTCTTCAAAAATTGCCTTTAGGGTTCACAGGAAAATTTAGATTAGAAATTATCTCAGCAGGTCTTTAATCCCACCTCTTCCTCAAAAGAGCATGAGCTACAAGATCTAACCAAGATCAACGTGTTCTTGAAAACCTCCAAGAATGCAGACTGCATAGCCTTCCAAAGCAATTCATTCTAATGTTTGACTGTCATTGTGACAATAAGGCTCTCCCTTATGTCCAGCATGGACTTTTCTTTTTGTCATTATCTCTTTTCCTCTCCCAAGACACACTGTCAAAAGCCTGGCTCTGGGTTTTGATGGCCTTCTCTTGGGTGCTGGAGGGCTTCTGGATCTCTTCTCTAAGTCTATGTGGCTTTGTGAAAGCATTTATTACTTCAAGAAATTTTTGTTGGCCGCAGACAACCAAAGTTCCTTAATAAACTCTCTTCATGTAACTTCAAGATTAATTTGAAATAGCCCAAGCATTTACTACATTGAAGAAACAATCAGAGGCCCACATTTATCCTGGTCTTGAATTCTCTCTAAGACACATATAAAACAGCATTGCTAAGCATGGCATTCCTCATGCACATCTCACTCCAGTCAACTCACATGATATCTAGTTGGGTTTGGTTCAATGTTCATATGGTAAATACAATTTATTTATTATCTGTAACCATTATAAATCCAAATATCTTTTTTTTCTTTTTGTAGGGATTTCTTGAGGAAGTAGCTCTAGAGTGCAAGATTCCATACAGATATTTCTGAGATTGATTCCAGGCATTGTGGATCATCTCATCTTTTATTTCAGCACATTTCCAATCTTCTATATAGTTAATTTTAGAAAAATATACACTTCCTCTGTTGTGTTACACCACTGTTGCTTCTGGGAGGGTCAGGATATGACCCAGATTATAATAAGGGCCAAGGGGTCTGTTCTCATTTATGTTTAATCTGCCAGGGTTCTGTAAACAGTCTGGACCTGCATTAGTGGAATCCTTGAGTTAATCAGGTTTTGGCTTGGGCATTTCACTTCTTATTGGCCACTACAGCTTTCCAGAGAGCTCCAAGAAGAAAATGGCATAACCTTGAGATTCTCTTTCTTGGAAGATGGATATGCCCTAACTCAATCTCCCTCTGTCACTCCTGCATTTTTTTAAGAAAGGGGCTTTGAAGAGGAATAATGAGGTTCACATGTGTAACAGTGTAAGTATATAATGTAATATATCCTTACCCAGTTTAATCAATCATGGGATGCAAGTATTTTTTGTCAGTAGTATAAACTGAGAGCACTTCAACATAATAAAATGTTAAAATCTTATAAATGTTGCTGCAAACATGCAGCTGGTGAATATGGATGCCAAGAAGATTAACATCTGGGAATGCCGTGTTACTTATAGCATATTTAGTAGCTCTATATAGAATTTGTTTATCTTTTCAAAGTGCATTTTTAATAACCACAAAAATAAAACTGCTGGTTTTATGTTATTTCATATGAATCTTTTATTGTTGCTTTAATCAAGGTTAAACAATCTTTTCCTAAAATTTTTTTCTTAATATTTTCACTTCCTCCAATATTTGCTTTGAAAACCTACCTATAAGACACGCAAAGTAAACTGAATATTTATAGTGGTTACCATCTATGCCTTGATTTGACAGCACCACAATAAAGCTGAAGATTTCTTTTCTCTTTTCCTTGAGGAAAAGCTCAGGAACAGCACCTGAGATTTTCTAAAGGTTACCTTCTGTTCATTTTAGGGGGCAGTTGCAGTGTTTCATTTGACTCAAACAATGAAGTGAAAAAACACTAGTATTTGTGGACCAGCAGTGGATTTACTCAAATGCATTTATACAGATAAAGAACAGAAACAAGGTCTTCCTCCAATACAATAATTACAGAATTCAAGGAAACTTTTTTTTCTTCCTGTGGACTCTTTCTGAGAAAAATACTGTTGAAATCTTAGCATTCTTTATAATATTTATCTGAAAATGCCTCATGTTTTCACCTATGTGAACATAAATCAGGAAGCCAAAATAATTGGTTTAAATTTGGAGTGAAAAAAAAATCAAAAGTAGAAAATTGACAGATGCCAGTATCATGCCTGAAGAAATGCAATGGTTCTCTTATTTAGATTTAATATAGTTCTAAAATAATTTCCTTAATTATTCTCTGCAGTGCCAAGTTTAAAAGTCATTCAAGGAGCAAAACAAATTCAAATAATAAAGTATTTCATTGTACTAACTGTTCAGGCTGAAATGCTTAGCATGCAAAAGAATGAACCCCCAAATATTTGCGTCTACTCTGTCAACTAGTTCTGTATAGAGAAATTTCTACCAGAAAAACTAGTCCAAAAATCATTCTCCATCAGAAGCTTGAGAATAACAGGATCAGTGAAGAAATCTTTCAACTTATTTTATTACTTAATTTAGAAACAATTTATTTGTGTTGATGTAAATTATACTTCTGATCACAATGGCATTTTTTCTGGCTTTTGAAAACCAGTGATGGAAGTGAGCAAACGGTGTCATTTATTTTTGGCCTATCTTTAATTTCACCTCTATCTGTGTTGGGACTGTAAGAACAATAGGTATAGCATTTGGAGAACACTGAATCCTTTGATTTGCTCCAAGCAGTACATGAAAAGTGATTATTATGTTGATTGTAAGTCAGGATGTCATTTTGGTATCTGTCCTTTCCAGAATAGCTCAGATTTTCTATGGGAAAAGCTGGATCCTATTGGGTCAGCCACAGGTAGGAAGAAAGAAAAGTAAATGAATAATCAAGGAGATCATGTCCAGTCCTGGATTCAAAATATGTTTCGTGAGAAGTCATTCCCTAGCTTTGAGAGCAGGTGCACTCTTATGTTCTTCATTGGCAAGGAACACTGGAAAAGCAGGACCTTAGAAGAACAATCAACTTCCATGTTCAGCTACTCTTAAAATGTTCTTGCATTCGGCATTTTTTTGTTCCTAAAGTTTGTGAACTCAGATTTTGTTTATATTTTAATCAGAAGAGCACCAGAAAAGCAACAAGAGAAGTTAAGACTAGGCAGTGTTCTTTGTCATCCTGTCCTAAAAAGCAATTTGCTAGTATTGTTATTTCAGCACATTGTGTATGATGTCTTTTTACCTGGAAGCCAAATTTAATTTCCAATGTGGTATGCTGAACTCCCTCTTCCAGATTCAGAACTCACACAATCTGCAGTTTATTTCCAAATGTACATATTTGGGTTTCTTTTTTTCCTGTGACAAGGCATAATTTCTGGGCTAGTGTACAGATTCTGGTTTTCTTTGGTTCCTATACTGCAGCCTGACACTAGAGGGGGAAAGAACCAAACCAGTAGGAATAACTGTAGTATAGAAATAAGCGCACTTTGATGATGTTAGTAACTCAATTTGAAAGAACTTAGAAAATTAATATCCCAAAAGTAAGTCTGAATGGTCATTTTTACTTCAGGCATAATTTACACTTCCAAATTTGTCAGCTGGCATGCTTGGTTGATCTGAACTGAAAGAACATAAAGGGGACATAAAACTGATTATATGCTGTATTTGTTAATTTATATCTTACAGTTTCATACCCTTAATTGTGAAATGTACTTCAACTGAGAAAATATGTCCCAGTCCAGCTGTGCACAATTCCATGATTTTCATCCATTCCAGAAAACCAGTAGGCCAGCATTCTCTCAGCCTGGTAGTCATAGGTCCTACCAAAAACACAAAGAACACCTGGATCTCCGTCAAGAGACAGCCCTGCTAGTGCAATACCCCAGGATTGTCTACCCATATCATTGCACTGGGAATGGAATAACAAGCTGTACCTTTTAGTTATGGAAGTCAGATACAAGAGTGATGTTCTTGTTAGATACTAAGTAACTGTCATCCTTAGCACAGAACAAGAGGCCTTCCATCAGTGATAATAAGCTGGATGCCTCAGCTGATTCAGATTAGTTTGCTTCATAATGTTGTTGCAGTGCTCAGTAATATCAGTGCTACTATAACTTCCATCTCCCAAATGTTCAGCTTTTTCAGCTGAAAAGAAACACCAGACCACCAAAGCTGAGTCCTTACACATTGCACTTCCCTATTGAAATCTTTCTGTTCCCCTACTCACACTGACAGAGCAGTGCCAGACAAAATCCAGGATGGTATCCTGGGAATTACCCACAATCATTTTCACTTTTCAGAGTGGTAAGTGGCCTTCCGCTGCTGGTCAGTCATCCTCCTCTGGATGATGGCTGGCCCCAGGTTATGAGCACAGTACAAATGGCAAGTCTGGGGACTTTCCCAGGTACAGATATGAATGAAATAATTTTTTCAGACATTTTCTGTGAGCACTACCTCTTGCTTGAAGATAGGTGTGAAACCATATGAATGCTAAGCAAAGTAGGGATATCTATATCCAGAACATTTTAGTAGTAAGGGAGTATAATTGCAAAATTGCAGCCCTAGCCACCTGGCCATCTTTGTGCGTGTGTGTGTGTGTGTGTGTGTATGTGTGGTTTGTTTTTTTTCTTTCAGAAGCAGCGTGGCACAGATGACACTTGCCATAAAGCTCTTCCTACAGAAAAAATGCAAGCCTAGCTCGTTTCCACTGCACGATAATAATTAAGGCTCCCATGAGTGAAATTCTGATACTTTTTTAGGTAATGATTAACCTTAAGCCCTTCTTCCCCCTTAAGTATTTGGATTAAAAGGGCAATACAGAGACTGAAGGCAGTAGGCATGAGTGGTTTATTCTCTAACTTTATGGACTAAAGGGTAGAGTCGTCTACAGGGTTCAGGAGCAGTAGGCCAGGCAGTGAGGGGATTGATCTTATCAGGACTAGAAAATAGTTTCTGTTGTATGACCAAGTTGAATTCAGGATGTTTATAAGCTTCATCATGCTGGTTTTACTGGTTCCAGCAATGTTTGTATGGTACAGACAGCAGCTATTGACTTTTCCATTTATTCAGCTCCATACTCTTCATTCCTCTGGGGAGTCTGCTGTAATTAGAGAGTTTAGAGCATTTTATTTTACAGAAGTCTAGTGTTTAGAGTAAGGCTTTACTTGTCAAGACTTTAAGAGTCTATCTGTGGCTCTATATTAATATGACCTGGGGTAAGTCATGTAACCACAGTTTTGATTCAGCTTCCGAGACTGGAAACCATACCAACCTCAGAGAGCTTTATTCATTTGATTGAGATCTTTGGATAAAAGCTACTAGAAGAAAAACACTATGATTCACTATGGTTCTTATTAAGCTATAAATGTTCACTCTTTATTTTGGATAGAGAACAGATGTGGAGGGATGAAATTTCTGTTAGTCTCATTTTGTATGCCCTGATACCCTGATGTTTTATTGAAAAACTCTCCGCTGGGAACATGGGTATGTGATTCCTGGGTGTTTTAGGTAGGTCACATCTTGGAACAGTAATTTATGAAGTACTGAGCAGAGACCGACAAGGGCAGATCAGCAGCATGCCCCTCCTCCCCATGCACAGCTGACAGATCAGCTGGACCCCACTGCTGGTACTGGGGTGCCTCTTTTACCTCCTTCTGGGTGCTATGGTGTTCCAGCTGCTGGCAGAAACACATTTTTGGGACCAGTTCCAGCTGAAAAAGCTCAAGTTCCTGCAGAATTACACGTGCTTGGACGGACAAGCCCTGGAGCAGTTTGTACAGGTAAGAGGAAAGGGTTCCCATTATTTTGGCTCAAGCATTATTTTCATTAGAAGAAATTATACTACTGGAGCCAAGTAGCCAAGCATGATATAAACCAATCAGCTATCTATGATATTTAATATCTAACTTTAAATAACTCAGGCCCATTCATACACTTCTTTATCTTGATCTGTGGAACTCCTTTCTTTCCACAGTCATGAACTCCCAAAATATAAGTGCATCTAGTGATGCACTTGTGCTACACTGCAATAATTCCAACTTCATGGTTCTCATCTCCCTCATTAATTATTACTGGGAATTATGCTTCAGAACAAAAAATAAGAATCAAACTTATAGAAGTAGGTTGCCCTTCCAAGGTTCTCCGATTCAAACCTGGCAAATTCTGCCCTTTTGTACTAGAAATTGTCTGCTACCTTTGAAAGTGGACCTCCATTTCCAGGCCTAAAGAAAAGGTGAAGTCAAATCCATCACAAACTGTGTTATCTGTTGCTTATAAGAAGAGATAAAAGGCTTTTGTTTGATACAGATTGTCAGTTAATGACAACTTCAATTACATTTTAATCTTTTCTTCAAAACTGGCTGGAGATAAAATACTAGACCTTTCCCAATATTATAGATATATTCTCATAATAGTACTGCAAGAGCTGGACAGAAATCTTTGAACTTCGAATCCTTGAGTTTCTTTGTGCTCAAAACATACCCAGTTGCAGAGCTGGATGCCTAAACAGTTTGAATCTTTCTAATATGTCATTAAAACAGATAAAAACTCAAAACAATTTGTACTGCCCAAGTCAGAGGACTTCCATGAAGACAAATTATTTTGATCAACAAAAAGCCCAGACTTCATATATGGATTTAAGTGAACAGTGAAGTTCAGATCAGAAAGGGTAGAAAAGGTGCCTGAACCTCAACATCTACAAAGCCAGTGTTCTGATTACTAATACTGTGATATATTACTTGTGAAACACTGGACATTGGCTAGAAAATGACTAGAGCGTTCAACAATTTACATGCCTAAAAACATGTCTATATTTTTCACTTTCATGACTTGGTGATATTACCTGTCCTTCCCTTATCTCTCCAACTGCAGAGGTGAAAACCCCAATTCTTATTCTAAACCTAACTGTGATACTTCATGGGATTGAAAGGTTTATTTAAATCACCACTACCCTCAAAAAATTAGAGGAGGTCACACATGTCCAGATTCTTTTCTCTCTGACTCCAGTGGACTTTTCTTAGGTCCACTGCTGTGCCACTCAGAGAATTGCATTTTGCTGCAGTGTCTCTGCTGAATTAAACACAATTTCACTTGTGAGCTGTTTCAGATAAAACTGAGGCTGAGGGCACCAAATCAATTCACCAAGCTTCAAAGTACTGAGACTTGGTAGTCCTCAAGGTATACATGAGTGCAGGTACTCTCTGACCCATATATTGCATATATGACCTGTCAACAAATTTGTCTCTTATTAATATAAGAGAACACTAGTCTTCCCGTATAAAATTTCTAATGCAGGGAAGCAGTTGTGTCTCTGCATGTTTAACGATGTGGTTAAGGAGACGTGTTCATCATGCCACAAGTTCCAGTCTGAAAACAGTAACAGTAGTTAGACTGCAGTGAGACACAGCCTCTGGGCTCAGTATATTCAGCTAACACATATAGTATGTTGTCTTAATGTCTTGTCTTAATGCTCGTTCTTTAAACCTAAATCCTGTAATGTGAGATTCAACAGAGAGAATTATTTTTTGCATATCTATTATGACTTATAATGAGTTACCACTTATAATTCATTAGCTTTTGACTCCATTGTGCATGAAACAAATTCTTGTAATTCCATGTCAATAAACTGCATTGGTTCTGCATAGCTAAAACTGCCTAGCTGAGAGATGGCTCTGAGCTGCATCTCCTAACATGGGCAGCCTGGAGCTTCTATCTAATGCGTCTCTGGTAGGCATACTTTGATAAGGAAATTTTGCAAGTCTGACAGCACAGCTGAGAAGCAGATGCATTGAGTAAGGAGTCCGTGTTTTGATCATGTCCATACTTTTTCAGTTTCAAAGGACATGATGTAAATACAGACCAAAAGGACCAAATTCTTGTCTATGACCAGGTGGCTGCAATATGCATTGACAGGGAGACAGGAGCAGAAACAGCAGGCATATTTTATTCTCTCCACATCCTAGTATAGCTTAATGTAGGTTTCATATTCTTACTGTAAATTACAACACATTGCTTTTATGTACTGTAGTACTTCTCACCCAAAGGCAACAGCTAATGTTCACCAACCATTCAGCAGCTGCCATAACCCTTACCTGACCTGTAGATGAAAGCAGCCAGGAGCCATTATAACTGTCTGTCATGGAGTTACTTTACCTTTAAGGAAGTTGGAGTTGCTGGGAAGTGCTTGGAGTCTTTTCTCCTGACCAATTATCGGTCATTGCTGGGAATTGACAGCAGTTTAGGCCATTGAAAAAGTGGATCAACTTGTGAAACCCTACCTTAAAATGTAAAAGCAGAGCTCTCTGGGTTCTCTTTGTTTCCTGGCTGTGAAGGGTGGCGGAGCTCTAGACTTCCTGTCCCTGCCCAGGCCATGCGGCCGGGCGGGGATGGGGCCAGGCCTGCCCCGTCTCCCGGCCGGGAGATAGGGGGGCCTAGGGGAGGTTTTCTCCGGGCCGGGCCGAGCCGATCTCTGGCTCGGCTGCAGGTTTTGCTGTAACTAATTCACTAGAAACTGCCCAGTGAAGAAAGAGAGAGGCCCTGGACTTGCAGTGGGTTGGAGCAGCGACTACACGCTCCAGAGCAGCCATGAGGAACTTCCCATCGCAGACAGCTCCAGCTCCTGTTTGGCAGAGATCTCCGAACCATCTACAAAAGCCTGGGCAAGATGTTAACTCTTTCATTACCCAGATGAGACTTGCGGATTAATCTTTTTATCCAGAGAGAGAGAGAGAGAGAGAGATCAACATGAAAAGAGACTTTATAAACTACCAGTGACAGGAAAGAAAAGAAGCTTCAGGAAAGGTAGAGAATTAAGAAGATGCTTTAATTAAGCTGAAATATCTCCCTGTTAAAACTATGGAGATGGACAATGAAGTCCTGAAAAGAACTCCTTTAATTCATGATATAGGATCTAGAGAGGAATAGTGTTCAAAGTGTAAATTTGAGTAAAGAGTAATTATAGTATAGTGAAGTGCTGGGAGATTAAAAGCCTTGAGAGGCAATGAGAAAACTGTTGGGAGATTTGAAGCCCTGAGAGGCAATGAGAAAACTGTTTTCTGGTGAAGCTCACAGAAACAGATGAAGAAGACTTTTTTTTTTGCCTTTGAATAACTTATCCTTAAAAATGCTATCTCTAGACTCATGGCCCATACATACTTCAGAGTGATGTGAAAATGGGAGGAGTGAACTCTAATAATAGCAGCTCTGAGCAGCTAACATTAGGGCAATAGAAAACTATAACAAAAATAGTTTTCTTGTGAGAAACTCCATAAATTAACAGGAAGAAACTTCTGTTTCTCTATAAAGACTGGTGAAAAGACTAGCAAGAACTGGGACTGTTTTAACCATCAGAGTTCCAGAGTTTTTGTCTCTGTTGTCATGTGAACAAGGGAATAGTGGGTAGATGGGGGATGGAAGGGTTTTTCTGGAAGTTTATTCTGGTGTTCTTATTACTGTGGTTTGTCAATAAACTTTCTCTTTTTTTTCCCTTTTAAGTTGTATGCCTGTTTTGCTCTTGTTCTAATCCATATCTCACAGCAAGAAGTAAGTAATTTTCTTAGTTATTGGTTTAAAACCACGACATTGTCCTACAGGAACCTGTTTGTTGGGCACTGTGATGCCATTTCATTCATGGGGTTCTTTCATGGGGTTGTGCTTAACAGCATCAGTTATACCAAGAAATCTGGCCTTGTCATACTGTGCCTAAAAGGTTCCACACTTAAAGTTGCCTTACTCTTCTGTGTTGGCTTTCATGATGTGAATGTAACTCCTGTGAACTCTTGTGTATTGAAATGCATAGAACTGTCTAGTGTTCCTTACAGGAATAAATTAAACCTTTGATTATTTCAAAATACTTACACCTCAGTAGCTTCTGTGTGTTTCTTCAAAGGAACAAATGAAATAAGTGACTATAGGAAATCTGACATGTTAAATTCTTCTCATTCTAAGAAAAGGCTTTTAATGGATAATGCAAAGTTCTTTGTCATATTGAAAATAAGCTCTGCTGACTCCTCGGTCATGAGGTCACACATGTTGATGTCCAGCAGCCCTCTGATAAATGTGACCAATGCTTTAGGAATTTTTACTGAAGGAATCAAATTAGCTATTATACTTAGGATGCTCAGTCCACCAGTACAGATCAGCTAATATTGCAGAACCTGTCCAAAATCAGATGCCTTGTAGTAGTTATATTCACTAGAAAAGCAATCTTTCTGGGAGTGGTTAACATTTGAATCAAGAAAGAGTATCTTCTTGGATCTTATACTCCTGGAACCAGCTAAAGCTGGGGTTGCTATTGACTCCTGCTCATGTCTTGCATCATACAAAGCCTTTAGAAGAGATGAACAAGTAATACCTTCAGGCATTTTGCAAAATTACAGAGGCTGTGACTAAGCCTTTGTAAGGTATGTGACAGACAAAGATATTCTTAAAACCCCATCCACTGAGCAGAGGAAAGCCAATCTCCCACAGAGAAATTCTTGGGCACAGCAAAGGAACACAATGTTCAGTAAGGCAGTTGACATCCTATTTGATGTAGGAACAGTAATTTTTTGGCACACAGTAGTTTTGGTCTGGTAAGAACTATCTGGAATAGCAGAGAATATTTTATTCATTGATCTTTCAGATTAGGAGAAGCCTAATATTCACTAAAAATTATATGGAAGTCATAGCAAAAAATAGTAATTCATCCTTACTAGTACTTAAATGGAGGAAACAGAAATGAGCATGTTCCTCATGCCCTTGCCCACAAACACAATTCTATGTTTACACATGCATAATTTAAAAACTTGAATGAGATGACCAAATTACAAAAGGACAGAAGGGCAACTATTTTATTTTTATGGCACAACTTTATTTTTTTTCCCCAGTTTGATCACTTTAGGGAATCCTCCACCTCTTTCCCTTTAGATTTCATCTACCTGGTGAACCTATGGTACTTCAATGATCTGTTTTCCTGTAGCAAGAGTTCAGCTTGTTTCAGCTTGTTCAGCTGGCCAGCTTTGTTTCCAAGTTTTGCTGTCAGCAAAACTTTTTCAGTCCAACTCTATCCTCTTATCTACACTCTTTATCACTTTGCTTGCTCAAGATGGAAAACAGGATTTACTTATCTCTATTTCCGGTATTCTTCCTCATCCTTGCTCCTTTGACCTTTTCTGCTTCAGGTCCTCATGGAAGCATGGGGAAAAGGGGTCAACCAAGAAGGAAACACTACAAATCCCAGTAACTGGGACTTTAGCAACCCCTTTTTTGCAGGAACTGTTGTCACCACTATAGTTGAGGTACTCTCTTTCCTTAAAACTAGTGTTTCTTCCAGCTATCCTGTAAAGTCCCCAGAAATGTGTAATTACTGGACAGAGTACAGCTGCAAATCAATCCGCTACCATGGGTTGTGGTTTTCTATTGGTTTCTAATTATGCCTGTTATTTTTCTGTATACAGTATTTTGTACTCCCAAAAAAGCTGAGTGCCTACTTAATACATGCAAGATTATTTTGTACATGGACAGCACATCTTTAGGTTGCATTGAAGCACTAAGACACACTCAACCACAAAATCAGAGACGTATAGAAAGTTACAATAGTACCTGGAAGACTAATATTTTTCATGTTTAGTTTTCAGCTAGTAATAGTGAAAGCAAAAGGCTTCATCATAAGCAATGGCAATTTGCAGACAGATTTAGTTGCAGAAAATCATAGATCTACAGGTTCCTGAAGCTTAATGTAGTTGAGCTTCCAAGCTTACGAACACCCCATGATGCCTGCAGCTTGACTATAGAGCCTTTTCATGTAGCTGTTTTCTTCTTTATTTCCAGGTTATCTGCCAGCACAGTGACAGGGCAGACCTGTGTGTTTTATGCCTTATTTGGAGAGCCCCTCAACCTGGTCTTCCTTAATCAGCTGGAGAAATCTCTCAATGCTCATCTGCTTACCCTGGAAAGAGGGGTGCAAAAGTGAGGGCGTGCCCAGGTACAGTGTCAATTTACCATTTGTTTTCACTGTTTTAAAACTAGTTAAAGTTCTTTTCTCAGATAGCTGCTGCTGCTAGGTTTCCTTGTGTGAACCACAGGAGTTACATGGCCCTCTCTATCAGAAACGATACAATCAATTTACCTACAATAGCTTTAAAGCTATAGGCTTTTGCTTGAGGGGCCCTAGATTTGCCTTTTTAAAACCTTCCCCAGCAAAACCATAGGTAGACCTGGTGACCTTGGCAGAATATGTGTGTCTACATACATTGCCAAATCAAGCTTTTATTCTCCAGCCTATGCCAGCATCTATCCAGAGTCTAGCTCTACACTGTGCAAAGGCAACTTATTTTTATTGGCCTAATGATCTGGCTGGAATTAGCTTTTCTGATTGTGTCAGCAACTTAACACTTCCTTTTTTTTTTCCTTAAAATGCGAATACTCTTTACTTACAGTTTATTGGTGAGCCATTGAACTAGTCCTGACATTTTTTAATAAGAAAAGCACTGATAATGGAAAATACATGAAGGGAATTTATTACAAGGTTAGTGCATGTTTCTAAGAGAAGGTTCAATGAATTGACCCCTTCAGTTAGGGAAAAGGGAGATTATATATGTGAGATATGTTGAAACATTTCGGAGTTCTGGCACGAGTTTTTTGTTTTACATTTGTAAAATCTATTGAGTCACTACATTCTTTATTTACAATGGTAAAGCTATAAAGGTACTGTCAAATACAGACTTGGTTTATATAAGCATGAAATTCTTTAGCTGCATAACCTCTGACTGCTCCCCAAACTCATGCAGCTCTACCACAAGAAGGATTTTCATATTAGTATAACTGCATCTTTCCTGGGATTTCTGATAGCAGTTTAGGGATGTGATCTATTTTTTTCCCTTTTCACTCCTAAGCTGACACTCATTTCTGACAGAACTCCTATGATCAGACAAAGCTTTGGAGCTGTATCTGCTTGTTTGCTCTGAAAAGTTTATTCAAGGATGTTGGTTTATCTCCTTATAAACAGAATTTTGTCATTCTCTGGGAAACTAATTTCAATCAGTTCTTCATTATTCCTGACTTATTGTTCCCAACATTACAGATTTTTACAAGAAAGTTCTTAAAAGACAGGTTAAAAAGTAAAATTGTTCATTTTGGTATACATTTTTTGCGAAGTTTATTATGTAATTGAACACTATTACAGTACTGGAATGAAGTAGATGAGAACAACTGAATTATATATAACTATAATCATGTCAATCAGTAATTCTCAAACTGCTCTGCAAATGAGGCAAGTATAATTACACAGCTAGAGAGACACAATGCATAATATAGAAGTGACTTGTCAGAGTCACCCAGTCATCTCAAGCCAAGTTTCTCAAGCTCAGAGCATTAAGTTTTATGTGAGATAATTCAGAGAGAGAAATTAAAACATGCTATCTGGACCTTCCACTTTAGCAAAAGTGGTTTGGCTTTTCATCCAGACACAACAGACTCATTAATAGAAAATCATATTCAGGTTTGATTGTCAATGAGGGCATTCTTAAATGATTGCAATGAGCTTGTATCAGCCCACACATCATTACTCAAAAGTTCACTAGAATGTGCTCCCTGGAAACCAATGAGCTCCTGATCATCAGTCCTAAACTCCTAAAATCCTTTCAGGACCCATCCATTGACCATTCTGTGTGCCTATCTACTATAGTCACGTATACAGTAACTTATCTCCCTGAAGGCAGATGTTTTTCCTGAAAGGCACAGATCTGCCCTGTGCTAACACAAACCAGCTCAGCTCTGAACACTTTTAAGTTAACAATGAAAGCAGGCAAACTGTCTTCACTTAGGTTTAATCCAAACATACTTCTTGGCTGAGCTCTTGCAAGCCACTTTATAAATCTTTGGAAGCAGTCATAGTGAAAAGAACCTTGATTTGCTCTTGCCAGTCTTTTTTTTCATGAGCTATGCAGTACATGGTGATTTTCCCCAAAGACAAGCTAGTTACTACAAGAGCATCTCTACTTGAATTGAAATTGTAAAATGAGTATTTCATTCCAATGGCTGTCCTAGTAGGTCTGAAAATATGAGTGGAACATTCTTGAAAACTCATTGTAAAAAGATTTTAAAAAATCCTCCTTTTATTCCTAATTTTAAGTTGTTGGTTTTTTTTTCATGGTTAGGTACAATATCTATGTGTAGAGAATATTTTAACAGAACAAGGGCATGATATTTTACTAAAAGCCTGTCTGAACAAGCCAGCCTTTAATCCAGATGACAATATTAAAGGCAGTGTCCTTGAAACTCTCCTGGTGCAGTGAGAACAAAGAAAAACAATAGCCTCGTGTATTGAGAAAAGAATGTAAAACAATATGCATTAACCAATAGTAGCTTGCTAAGCCCAAGAACCCTGTCGGACCCTATAAAAGTGTGCTAAAGATAGAAATAAACTACATTCACTATACTTCTGTGAAGACTCGGTGAATAGTCTGAGCGGTTTTTCAATAACTATGTGCAGAGTAAACAGTGAGTTCAACCTGCAGTACTTGGAAGCATTGTCTTATCCTTCTTTTTTTTTGCTGTCACTCCCATGTGGGGTGGGTTTGTGATTCAAGAGTAAAACAGACACAGCAATTTTGACAACTGCTCCATGCTCTTTAGCTGCCATCTTCCTCTTCTCTTTCAGGTGGTTCAAACACTGGCAGTCGCCATCTTCCTGACCACTGGGACCTTGCTTTTTCCTGGTGTTCCCACCATTAGTTGTCAGTTATGCAGAAGGCTGGAGCTACTGAGAAGGCTTTTACTTCACCTTCATCACCCTGAGTACCATTGGATTTGGGGACTATATAGCAGGTAAATAAGAACATGAACTGGATTGAGCTTTGTTGAAATTCATAACTCTACTATAAAATTAAGTTCATGGAGCATAGATATCCATTCCATTATAGATCTGGTACAAGAGTGAGCTCAGCCAGACTGGTAACAATAAGCATATTACAGGATATGTGTAGAGAATATTTTAACGGAGTAAAAGCATGATATTTTACTAAAAGCCTGTCTGCACAAACCAGCCTTTGGTATAAGCGACGATATTAAAGGCTAGTGTCCTTGAAACTCTCCTGGAGCAGCACGAATGAAAGAAAAGCAATAGCTTTGTGTACAGGAGAAAAAATGTAAAACAACATGCATTAGCCAATAGTGTCTTGCTAAGCCCTGTCAGACCCTATAAAAGGTGTGCTAAAGATAGAAATAAATGACATTCACCATACTTCTGTGAAGACTCGGCTGAATAGTCTGAGTGGTTTCTCAATAGATATGAGCATTTTTCTCTTGACAGCCAGCCTGAGAGTCACTCAACTCATTTCACACATGCCACTGAACACTCATTCAACAGTGGCTGGTACAAACATTATCAAGAGTGAAAGGTGGAATATGAATAAAATTCCTTTTCCAGTATTAAGCCTTTGAGCCACACTCTCCCAACACTGATTTGCTTTAGCAAGTGCCTAATATTCCCAACAACAAATCATATCAAATATTAAATAATCAGTACTTAAAATGGAGAGAAGGTTACTGACAACCACAGAATAACTCTGAAAGAAAACAAACCCAATGACATTACACAGTCTTTAGATCTCTGCATTGAGAACATCATGGTAGAGACACATGAGGGGCTGTTTTTCCACACACTTACTTGAACAAATGCATATCTTAACAGATTATGTCTAACGTGTTTATTTGTTAAAACCACTAGGGTTTCTTACTTCACAAGTAGTAGCTCTTCTCTCCTAGAGGTCATAACTATGACCCAAAAGGAGATTAAAAATCCCATGCTGAATCTGGCACTGTGGAGTTTCATGAGTCTATCAGCTGCACTGATTGTCCATGTTGTGGAAACATCAAACCAGGGATTAAGATTCTCATAATCACTTAATTAAAATGGCTACATTTCCCATATTACCCAAGTGATTGTGAATCCCAGGTACTGAGGTAATATCACCCTCCTAAAAGCAATCACTGCATGACTAAATTGTACCTTTCTAAATCATCTAAGATCCTCTGTGTGCTTCTTGAGTAAAATATGGTTAATATGGATTCAAAATTTAATTTCCAAGATTTTTTTCCTTTGTTGTTGGCTAGAAACCATTGACTTTGAGCATCCCTGATTCATATTAGATATGGCAATTTTTATTATATAGCCACAGCTTCAGGGATTTTATGCTAACTGTGCTAAGCTCAGCCTGAGAGTTGACATGAAAAAAAGTGCATCTGCTGATGGATCCCACAAGCTCATTACCACATACACTTTTGCAAGGAGTGGGGAGCGTTTATGAGTATGTATGTTTAGCAGACCAAAGCTGCCAAGATAAGTATTTTCCTGGATTTTTCAGACACAAATCCCAACAAGCACTATATCCCCATGTATAGGAGCCTAACTGCAATATGGAGTGTTTTCGGCTTGGCCTGGCTGGCTCTGGTCTCAGTGTGGGAGCTGACTTGATGGAAAGATACCTTTGGTTAAAGTGGCACAAGTCTGACTTAAGCTTGGCAGAAGGAGACGCTACCAAATTGGAAGATGAACCTGAGCAGCCTAGAATCCATATCCCTAGCTGATCAAGGTATAAAGAAAACAATCCTGAAACTGCATCTTCCATCTGTATCTCACACTAAGTGACCCCTCTGGATAAAGGACTAAACCACGGGTTGTGGACCGTGTGGGGAGCTAGGGCCCAGCGGTCGGAAGATTTCAGGATGTAACAGAAAGATAGTCACCCCCCCTCCTCAATAGCTTATGGTAATGACCCCCATAATTAGCCAGTAGCACCGAGCTGTGATGAAAGCAGACGGGAGTGACACTGTGAACCTAGGTTATAAAGTGTCAAATTCTTCACCAATAAATGCCATTTTGCCATCCATCACGTTGATGTTCTGTGCAAATGGACCGAGTGACCTGAGGGGGGGGGTCAGCGTGCCATTCCTGAACCAGGTCGTCTGCCTCGCTGAAGGCAACAGGACTGTTTCCTAAAGAGGAAATGTTTCAGATACATGGAAATTTACAGACCCTGTGTAGGCATCAGCCTTGGGGTTAAAACCCCAAGGAAGGAGCATACATGGTTACACAACTGTCCCAGGATTCATTTTACACTTCTCATTCTAAGGCAATTCCCCTGAAGTAATCAGTTATTATCCTTTCTCTAATGTGAGAACTCTCAGTTCTTATGGTCACTCATTTTCAAAAAAATCCGGAGTGACTGCCTCCCACCTTCAATAAGAAGTCATTTCACTAAGAATCTCAAGTGGAAAAAGTCAGGTACAGAAATCTTTCTTAATTTCCAATCAGAAAACAAACAAAACCACAGAAGAATATATTATCAGTTATGAACACTTGCTTAATGACATCTACCTAGTTAAGATTCAGTTGATATTGTCTGGAATGAATAGCTTTCATATAAAATGACACGATTTCTTTATTTTCTGGGCTAAAATCATTCTCGTTTAATTGTGAGAAAATTATGTGTCTGTCCAGCTCTGCCTGGACTGTTGCAATTTGTCTCAGAGCAAACTGCCAGTTCAAAGCAGGTCCAAATCACAGGTCATTTCAAGCCACTTTAAAGCAGCACTTGAAACTAAATTGAAAAGCAAGGAGACATCCTTATTTCCAGCCAGATCACAAATACCATTAGAGCCTGGAATTTGCTTTGGGCCACTTCATAGAAGAGCTTTTTTGCACCATACAGAAATGATGCTTTCCATTTACCTCTAAATAAGGCAAATGATAGATTCTTGCATTAAATCTCATCCTCAGTCAGGCCCACTGTGTGAAACATGGAGATTGAATTTACTCGTTATTGAAAATCAAAAACAGCAGCAGCAGCCATCACCAAAGGAGCTAAAAAACTCAAGTACATATAAGCACCTAACAAGAGACTAGTCACTGAGATGCAGATCTGTAGTCATCCTCTCTATTAAAGTAAAGTCCAGAAACTTGATAAAACAGTTATCCGTTCATTTGGGTACCATGTTCAATCATCACTAACACATTCCATGGGTATGCTTGTAATTATATATACACACATCTATTTATTCAGTATATTTATATCTCATAGTAACCATCAACTAATCCCTTTGAACTCATTTATTAATGGAACTTGAATGTAAAGGATGAGTGAAATATGGCTGGGTATGTAGATTAGGCCCAAGCTAGCATATGTATGACAGACTATAGGAACACCAAATGTCAAACTTTCAGCAGCTGCTTTGACATTGCATTTTGGAGATGTATGCATAAAACATGTAGAGACTTGTGTAGGTCACTAATTCTTTTCCTTCATACTTTCTGAGCTAGATTTTTACTTCTCAAGAGAGTCACAACAGATATTTGCTCTTACATCTGACAAGGTGCACATTTTCTTTGCCAGTTGCTGACTCATGCATAATGCAGTGTGGCTAGTCAAATCTGAAATGCTGGCATATAAGAATGCTGGTTATGGTTTATTCAACTAATTTCAAAAATTAATGTTCAAATGCTTATTCTATCCAAGATTTCCCTCATGTCTTACCACTACCTACCTCACAGATTTTTATCCTCAGTTTTTGCACTGATCTTCCCCTATGCCCTCAGCTATTCCCATAAATGTATGCAATGTCTTTCTCTGTATACTTTCACTGAGAGCAGCCAGCTCTCTCCTGTCTGGCTTTGCAAATCTCACAGGAAACTTTGTCTTTCTGTATTTTCTGTTCTTTGGACACAATGTTTGCACTTGCACTTGTTAACATCATCACCGTCACTGTACTCTGTACCTGCCTTGTGTTAACACTATGAGACACTTTTGGCCTCTTCATGTAAAAGACAAAACTGAAGTTCTACTGACTTCTATATCTAAACCGTTTTCTTCACCTTGGGTTTTTTCACACCTTGTGTTTTTCCATACCTTCTGTATTTTATTGAGACACTGTCAGCCATAGCACATGCACTAGTCTAAAGGTGATCCTATCCAGTGTTTTACACTGTGCTGCGTGCCATAAAAAAATTATAAAGGGGCTTATCAGAGATAGAAAGCACTTACTGAAAAAGTGTTTCTTAAAATTATCCTTACTTGATATCTGACTGCAGGAAGTTTGGATTGTTTTTACTGCAGTCCAGAAAATTGCTCCTGTATCTGATATTGATTTTGCAAATTAGCAGCAAATGGTGAGACTACCTGTCTCGGCTTTAGAAGATCTGCTGGGGAGGGCAGCAGCAGCATTTTAGAAATGTCTGCTGGGGAGGGCAGGAGCCTCCCTTGGAATGAGAAAATGTAGACCCCCTCTCTCCAAATTATTATAATTCTCAAATCAAGGGGCTCTCAAGCAGAGATCTGGGGATACGAATAACAGTTCTTTACTAGTATTTATAACAAGGCAAACAAACAAAAATGACTACAGCATTAGCAAGAAAACAGAACCAGGGACCCCGTGACAGCCTTCTCGGCCGAGACAGGAAGGGATGGAGGAGAGGCTTTGCTTCACAAACCCCCTCGGGCAGGCAGTCCCTGTGCTCCTGCAGGGCTCTGAGGAACACTCAGCTGGAACAGCAGGGATGAGCTGAGATCCTGGGCCGGTGGCTAAGGTGTATCAGCAGCTCCGCGGCGGTGGCTGGCACCGTCACACGTCCCGGCAGGACAGGGGGTGCGAGGCCACCAACAAAGAGGGAAGAAGGAGAAGAAGCAGCAGCTCCGTCTGGGTGATGGTGAAATTCCCTTCTCCCCACCGCAACAGCTCTGCCCCAAGTGTCCTTCTCCAAAGCTGAAGAAAACCCGCCAAACTGTCCCCACCCTCCTTTTTTCCTGCCCCCTTCCCTTGCTGTGCCCCGGCTGAACTCTTTGTCTTTTCTCAAGCTCTCACCAAGTACCCACAGTTAGGTTGCCCCCCGCAATTAATGGCTAAAAATTCCACAGACAAGCCAGAACTTAAAAAAAAAAGACACCTAACCCCCAACACTACCTCCTGGATTTTTTGCTACTGCTATATTGACTAAAGCTGACAGTATCTGCTGCAGTTCTCCAGCTGCCTAACAGAAGACTCAGAAAGCTACCTTTGAATCAAGCATATGGCCATGTTGGAAGAGAAATGAGAAGGATACTGATGCCCTCTCTTGTACTATATAAGCAATAGAAATTTCTTGATTATTTTGTCAATTTTTCAAGTTTCTGAAAAGCTCCTAAAGGTCATGCACATCTATAATAAAAGTTACTTTGAGATGCCTACTGGGAGCACTGGCCCAAGTTTTGAGCATGGATGGACCAAATGCTTTCTGGTAGTGTTCCTCTAATAAAAGTGTAGTCATCAAGTACCAACTGACCAGCTAAGAAAAGTAATGTGGAAGAACTGCACAATCACAAGGACTTGCTAAAGGCCAGAGGAAGGCACAAAAGGGATTTTTTTGGTTTAATAACCCATTTTACCAGTGGTATATTTCTGCTCAGAATGAAGAACACACATGCTCAGCTCCAAGCATGGAAAACAGCACTTTTGCAGCCTCTGAATGTGGCTCTGCAGGCTATTGCATAAGCAGCGGCCCAGGCAGTGTTCATCTGTGATGTTGAAATGTAGTACTTTGTCCTGAGCAGCTACCACCTGAAGTTCAGGGCAGAACAAGAAGCAAATGTCCTTCCAGGCTTACACTTTTAGCCTACTCAATAAGCCCTTCTTCATCCTCAGATACACATGCTGTCCTTCCAGACAACATCAAAGTATCATTGGCAAAGATTTGAGCCTTTCTCTGTGGAGATGTAAATAAAAGACTGACAGACAAGTGACTTTTCTGATAATACTCAAGAAAACACCCATTTAAATATTATATGACTGTGCGAAGATTTGTTGTGAATCTTGATCTCTTTCTTCCCAAATTCCTTCTAGTAAGCACGACTGATCTTGTGTTTCCACAGCATGTGTTGTAGTTAAAAACCCTGAGTCTCACCTGTAATTATTTTTATATATTTTTAGTATAAACATTAAATTCTATATGGTTAGTCAATAATGTTTCAACATAGTTATGCTCAGTGTGCGTTGTATTAACTCTCTGGGTTTAAATGCAGCTAAAATGTCAAAATGCAGCTCAGATGTGTCTATTTCCTGATATTAAATGTGATGAGTAAATATATACCTTTTAGTACCCTTGCAATTTTTTCTTATATATATTTTTATAGAAGGTTTTCTTTTATATGTATATACAATTCCATTTTTATCTTTAAATATCACTGAGTAATGAATACCTTGAAAAGGCAGAATTAAGACTGAGCAATAAGCAGCATTTATTTCTTTTTTTTCTAAGACTGCTTTGGCTGATTTTGTTACACTGGAATTGGTCTAGCTTTTGCATGTTAATTATTGCATCTTGCCAGTGGAATCATGTGTTTATGCTATTCAGTTTAAAGCACATCTCAGATAACCATGAATTAGCATGATACCAGAACATTTTCAGGGGAGCAATGTATGTTTGGAGGCTGCCTTGCTTGTAACAGTACATACACTTTCCTGGCAAAAATAATCACAGGGCAGCGTGAGAAGACATTACCCTCTAACAGTGTATAAAGTTATCCTGTGCAGAAACTTACTGGGTTTATTCCCCTTCTTCTCATATTATGTAACAAAATTGGCAAATTACAAAGTTCGTATATGCCCAAAATGATTTGATTGCTTTATCTACCAGTGATAGAACAGAAAGGAACATTGGATGCAGTCTTATACAAGAGAGTAATTAATCAAATAGGTCTCAGAATCTATGTACATGAAGAAAGTCGTCCTATCTTTCACAGGAAAACCACAAATTAGAAAAGGACTGAAAAACCTGCTACCTTTTCACTTCTTTCTATCAAAGAATTGTTATCACAAACACCTGATTGCTGCCTTTTAAATTAGCATAGCAGCTGAGTGAAAGAGGAATGCAGATTTATGCAGGATGCTAGCATACTGCTCTCGAAGTAATCAATCTTTGCCATCTGGAGAGAGACTAGGTTTCATCCCTCGGGTGAGCAAACGTGACTGGGAGCTGGCTCCGGCTCAAGAACAAGCGGCGCGGAGCAGGGAATCCTGGGAAGCCTCGAGTTTTGGGATAGACAGGTGAGAAGCGGAGCGGCGCAAGAGAAGGATGGTGGGTGGCGGGGCGGGCTGTCGTAGGACGAGCGGCACGATCACCTTCATTCCCCGGCACAGCTGGGTTCTAGGCTCCCCTCCTCGCCGTGGAGGGTGGGAAGGGACAGGCAGGGGGAGGTGCTAAGGGCTGGGCGCCTTGCCGGGCCGGCGCCGCTCTCCTCCCGCGGGGGATCGCGCTCCCGCTCTAGGCCGAGCCGTTTCGTCAGCGCCGCGGGCGGCCGCGGTGGTAGCGGGACCGATGGTGGCGGCGCGGCAGCGGCGGCGCTGGGGTGTGCCGGTGCTGCTGGCGGCATACGTGGGCTACCTGGGGCTGGGCGCCGCCGTGCTGCAGGCGCTGGAGCGGCCGGCCGAGGTGCAGGCGGCCCAGCACCTCCTCCGGGAGCACTGGGAGCTGCTGACCAACCACACCTGTCTGCAGGGGCCCGCCCTGCAGCGGCTCATCGAGGTGAGCCCGGGCGCGGCGACCGAGCGGAGATGAGCACCTGCTGGTTCTGCGGGGCAGGTGCTGCCTCCGGCCCGGGGGAGGAGAGCGGGGCGGCAGTGGCACCGGCACCAACCGCGCCTCCAGTCCAAGGGTAACTTAAAAAAAAAAAAAAAAAATCCCCAAACTTTTTCCCTGTGTATGTGTATGCGTACGCATCATCTGTTTCTAAGAAGCCGCCCACGGCGTGGGAGCTTTCCGGGAGTGCGGGCCCTCAGCGCCGCACTCCGGGCTGCGGCCGCCTCTGCTCTCTGCTGACAAAGACATGCTATCGTTCTCCGCTGCCGTCCCACGAGCTGCGGCGTTCGCGGATTTGGAAGAGCCGCGGTCCTGACCGAAGGCAGGCGGTGACGGAGCGTCCCCTTACGTGACAATTACCTACGGTTAATTATAGATGGTTTAGGTTTGGTCTTGCATTTACGAAGCACGAGTTATAGTCTGTGACGTCTTGCACGTGGTAAATTCTAATGGGAAGGCCTTGTTGTGGTAAATTTAATTATGTTTATACTAGTGTCAAACTTCCATCTTCTACTTGTTATTTAAAGGGAAATAGGAAGTCCTTAGGTCTCTTAAGTTATCCTTGAAAATGCTTCTGAAGATATTTGCAGGATGGTTGCAAAATGTAAAGCAACAACAAATGCAGTCTTACTAAGGTACAGATGGTTGCATTTTTATGATACAGATACGAGCAAAGTGATATAAATGGCTTGTCTCTTTGCCCAGCTTTTGCCTGAAAAAGAAAAACCTATAATATTAAAATGTCTTGAGAATTTACCCAAACCCTTTGATTTCAGTAGGTGCTGGAGTATGTACTCCTTGCTTTTGTGTGTCTGCTTCAAGTAGATGTTGCTAAACACAAAGAGAACTTGGGGTTGGTTTGTTCTGGTGGATGTTTGTAAAAGCAGTGTATGATGGTGACTGAAACCATAGCAGCTGGTCACCACTGTTCAAGGAATCTAAAAGAAGCTTGGATATATACTTTGTTGTTGTTGTTGTTTTTCTTCCCCTCTCCAGCAGAGATGAAAATACAGAAGCCATCAAATAGGGTAATCATGTCGTGTATTTCAGCAAGGCTCTGGCAGACAAAATTACGCTGATGCCCTATGTCTTGCTCTCATTCCTTGGCTTTCTGGATGGTTTATTCTCTGTTGGCAGTCAGTAGTACAGTGATCATATGCTATAAATTTGGACCTTTGTAAGCTACTATAGTACCCACTTTTATTATTTATGGTGTGTGTTGTGCTAGTGGTGGTGGAATTTAAATAGAAGTGAGAAATATATCAGAGAAGACCAGTCTGGCATTTGATAAAGCTGGATCTTAGCTAAGCTTCATTCACCACTGGCCCATTGTGTAGTGAGCATTATGTAAGTGAGCTGTATGACATTTGCCCAAGGGTTGCAAGGGCTTGGTGAATTATGGTAATGAGGTACTAGTAGTGGAGACAAGAGAATTACAACTAAATAGGTAGAAATTTCATTCTGTCAATTTATTTTACTGCAGCATGACCTCCACTCATTCTTGATACCCCTGGAATAGGGGAAGAGAACATCTACTCAAATCCCTTTAGACCAGAGGCTGTTAGAATATGCAGTGTGAGTACTTAATTGTGACTGAGCAAGCCCTTGATGGGAAGTTACAAATAAGCTTTGTTTCATTTTATGCAATGTCTGTTTGTGCCTTCATGCTCTGAGAAACCATACTCTGAGTTTGAATGGCTTTGTGTGCTATTCAAAATAACTTTGAGAAATTAATCCTTAAAAATCCACAGAACTGATGCTTTCCTATACTCTTTTCTAATTCCCTATGCAACAATCACTGGCATTCTCTAGGTGTGCTCAAAAAGAGAAGTTTTTCTGTGCAGTAAATTGTTAATGCAGTACATTGCACATAGTTAATCAGGCAGTGTCATCACTGGCTGTCTTCAGATAAGAAACATGTATTCTAGATACACAACTGATTATTTGCTTATTATGACATACAAAGAGTGTTTGTGAAAATGTAAAGCAGCATGTGAATTTTAATTGCCTTGACATTACTGGCAATTCCTCATTGTTTTCTTATAGCTCTTTAATTCCAGATAATCCTAAACTGTGTTTATTTTAAGTGTATAGGGGCCACTATGAAAAAATCCTAGTTTGCTGAGCAATGTACAAATGTAATTTTACAACCTGTTTATCTCTTAGTTCATAGTTACCAATGGAGAGTGGAAATCCACCGTTCCAACCATTGTGCAGATGGAAGAGCAACAGAGCTCCAGCTTTGAGGAGCTAGCAGGAGAGCATGGAGTGAGGATGGGCAGGAAGGAAGCAAAGCAAACAAACCATGCTGGAGTAGCTAGACCAGTGAATTACCATTCAGTACTTTTTGTGACTCAGGTCCTTTCCAAGGAAGAAGCAGTCTTCTAGTTAACAGAGGAAAGAACAAAAGAAGGTGAAAATAGCAGACCAGCAACAAAAACAGGAGTGGAGAAGAGCATGTTAGAAAGCATGTCACATCGGTGGTGGTGGGCCCCTGCTTCCTGTAGCTGGATTTTGTTGTGGCTCTACTGCCTAGAGGGATTGGCCAGCTCTTCGCCTGCAGGAGCAGTTCCACATTTCCTGAGTAGTTGAAAGTAGCACGTGCAAATGCTTTACATGTAAGCAAATAAACAATGCGTGGTCATGTGTCTATACACTCACATAGGGCAGAATGGAGGCACTGTGGCCACAAGTCTCTCTACAGTGCACCCAGTGGTGTTTACTTAAGGAACACAAGCTTGACTTTGTTGACCCATCTAACCCCAGGATATTGTTCTGCCATTGTACACAGTCTGAATGAAACATGCTGGTCAGGAACAAGACTGAGAGCAGGCCACTGGGCCACTAGGGAACATGCAAAGAGGGAAATATCTGGCCTTTTATTATCATTATGTGGTGGTCTTTACATGCTAGAATGTAGGGTGTTGAGGTCACATCAAAGGAAGTTCCCAATGACAAGACTTGCAGAACATTGCAGCAGATGCAATGATAAGACAGATTGCAGGTGATGTACTTTCAATACAATGAAGAAAAGCAGCTGGACTCAACTGGGGAGAAAAATCTATGTCAAGGCAAAAATTATGTTGGTTCTAGATTCTGAGGTGTCCAGAAAGTGAGGCTGCACACAAAAAGGACACTTTCTGTATTGGCATATTTCTTGGGGCTGAAGCCCTTTCTGACCTTTTGGAGTTTGGAGCACCTTTGGTTGTGAATAATTTCTAGTGCAAAAGTGCCTCAGTTTTACTGCCTAGTGTGAATGTGTATGTAGCTCTGGTCCAGCTGAGCTCCAAACTCATTTTTTTTCCTGAATAATTTTCAGTGGTTACAGGCACTCAGCTGTTGTGTCTCTTGTCAGTGTCTCTTTAATCAGATGATTTGCTGTAGGGCCAAAGCTTGGAACAGCACTTTTTGTGTGTTACCGTATTACAGTGACATCTGTTTCATGCTATCTTTCCTTTTTTTCATAGAAACATTTTGTGTTATATACATAGTTCAGATGTTTCCTGTATTTACTATGTTGTTTATTTGTTTTCTATTGTAGCTATATAATGCTGTTTAAATGCAGTTGCTTTCATAAATGAGAAAATGAAAGCTGAGCTAATTTTTTTTTTTTTTTGCCTAAAAAAATTCAAGGTATAGTAAGAAAGAACTAATGCTAAAGGGCAGGTTATAAACTAAATGGCTGCAGGTGGATCTAGATACTGTTATCTCCAGAGTCAACAGCTAGATGTACATAGAGTTTGAGGAGATGTTTACAAGAGCAGTGAGATCCCACGTGACTGGAAGATCCTCATCAATATCTTGGCTTCTACTGACATTGAACCAGCAGAGAATTGTGGCAGCTGTCAGGAAATAAAACCCTGCAAACACAGTTTACTAAAATAATCTTGCACTCAGATGATGCAACAGGAAGAGGTGAGCATCAGAGATCACCTGCCAGTGGTGAGGGTTTTTAAGGAACAGCAATGGCTCCTGGTATTGTGGAGCTGTAATATCTATATAGAGCCCAATTTGGTCAAATTAACTTGTCTCAGATGTAATGGGTTGGTCCCCTGTAATTGTTCCTTTCAGCTTCATGCTTATCAAAATGTACTACTACTTTGCTTAAGTTGCAGCCAGTTCATCATTTTCCAGACCTGTGTATTAAAAGAGCTGTGGGGGCCTTACCAAGTATGTGCATTCTGTGCTAATAATACCATCTTCTACCTTACATTTGACAGAAGTTGTTGAAGGTAAAATCATTATTCTAGAAGGCAGTAGGTTGGCACTATATTAGACTTCTTGGAAGGTGACAAGAAGACATACTGATGACCTCTTTCTGGTTAGTTGACTCAGCCCTAGGTCTTCTGGTACTAGTGTCTAGTACCTGTGTTCAAGAAGAGAAAGGCAAGGGAAAAAACATAGCGGCCTGTTATATCATACCTGTGCCTAAAGAGATACATTCTTTTGATATTACCAAATTTCCAGTTACAGCTAGTCAGGCTTGGTGGGAAGTAACAAAGGAGTGTAGCCAGCTGGCACTGAGTGGTGAGTGTCTCAATAACCTTTCCTACCAGAAGGTTTGAGACTCACAACTAGCAGTTGTGAATAGCTAAAGACTGGGGATGCCTTCTAAAAAGAGAAATGCTAATTCTTATCAGTTGTTTGAAGATGTGAGTTATTCTTATATGTACTTGTTCTTCATACTTTATCTTTTTTAATGCTATTTAAAGGAAAACAACTAGGGAAAGAAATCTCGGTTTTACAAGGATAATACAATGCAACCTTTCTGTGTTCTCTAAATTATACAGGCAGCTTCTTTGAACTTTTTTCAACAGGCTCTGCCTATTTCTGTGGCAGCCCAGCTGTTGAGTAACTGTTCTTATTGGGGTTTGGGAATGCTGGCATTCAGCAACCCTTTGTCTCATGAATCACGCCACAGATTCTTCTTTGATATAAAAGCTTAA